ACAAAAAATCAGACCCCCCCTCAAATATGACGTCACAAAGCTCTGCCCCCCCCCCCCCCAAAAAAAACATGCTTCAAATCGCTTTAAACTATTGTCATGAAAGTGCGTATTTAATGTGTCGCTGCACTCTGATGTTGTGGGACGAAACATTTATTTAAAAAAAAGTCTATTTAATGAAGTAGAACGTGTTGTCTAAATTTATTTAAAGTTGCGCATTGTGATGTGAAGTCACATTTCTCAAACCCTCCTCCCCCCCCCATCGTCACACATCGTCACAAATGTCTGACCCCCCCCCCCCCCCAGGTGCGTGACGTCATTTATGGACGGCCCCTTATCCCAGTATATAACATGAACCAGTTGATTACGTTACATGATTACTGTTATAAACAAAAAATGCACATAGTTGATAACCCAGTTTAGAAAAAAAATGTTATTAGAATAAAACGATGACGGTGGCAGCTTGAGTTAATGTGATGGCAGTAGCAGTCAATGTACACGTATCGTGGTACAAGGCTGTCTGTCATTGCCAAGGTTAAATAACCTCATAAATGCTAATTTGAATAAAATAATCATATGGATAATTTACATTTGTGAGGCGCATTTCATCCGTCTATCCCAATGAAGTCATCGGTCGAGTTAGTTTGAAAGGCCAACTTCGGGATTCCGGTATGCCACTTCCAAAACCTACAGTAGTCCATATGCAGAAGACATGGATTGCCTTCCATAGTGACCCTTGCACTACTGAATGTAGGCTACTTCTGCCCTCTAAAGAGTTAACGCACAGCGCGAGCGAAGAGCCGTGAGGAACTAGGCGTGATCCCGTGCATCTCAACTCCGAACACACCATTCATGAATAAGACATCGGCAATCACACCACACCCGACAATTATCGCGGAAGACTTTTGGGGTCTGTGCAATCAACCAGCGTGCCATCAGCAAAACGTCTCGATCTCACAACGCAGCACTTTTGACGGTTAAATATTTTTATTGTCATTAATGCTCTGATTGCCATTTTCTTATACGGTACCGTACTCAGTCTGCAGCCAAAAAGTTGAATTGGCTGCGTGGGTAGTCATTCCTACCGGTGGCCCTAAGCCAGCAGTGGATATTCCAACGGCTTACGATGCGACCGGTTCCTCCGCAAGAAAACCCATCCCTGCTTCCACAATATGCGTTACTCGCTCCCATCAATTCGAGAGGATGCATTGCTTGAGCGAAGCCGAAACCGAGTTGTGAACTTGCAACATTCTCGGTCTGACTGCGAGTCTGGCGCTCTCAGCACGGCGTTCTTCGCTACTTTTCAAAGGGTGCGGCCACTTTCGCCGTCAAGACATCATCCGTGTGTGAGGGCCGCCACAACATTTGAAACCATTGGGGGGTTTGACAGCAGCACGATGATGATGATGGGGGGGGGGGGAGGGGGGTTATTTTCACTATTTGTGCCTTGTCGGGGTACGTCAGGGGCTGCACTAAAGGCCACCAGGGGCCACACTAAAGGCCACCAGGGGCCACACTAAAGGCCACCAGGGGTCATATTAAAGGCCACCAGGGGTCATACTAAAGGCCACCAGGGGCCGCACTAAAGGCCACTAGGGGGCCACACTAAAGGCCACCAGGTGCCGCACTAAAGGTCACCAGGGGCCACATTAAAGGTCACCAGGGGCCACACTAAAGGCCACCAGGGGCCACACTAAAGGCCACCAGGTGCAGCACTAAAGGTCACCAGGGGCCGCACTAAAGGCCACCAGGGGCTGTACTAAAGGCCACCAGGGGCCACCAGTGACCCATGGGCCTCGCTGTGAAGCGCGCCGTGCTCGAAGTGCAGTGACCACCTGGCTCGCCATAGGGTCGGATGTAAAAGCAAGGCGTGAACAGGCGACACAATAAATTATTAATAGTTTTTGTACGCACACACGCACACTCTCACGCTGCGGTCTGGCCGCGCTCATGAGATGTATATCTCTCCGTGAAGCATAACCCCGGGTCAACAGGGGTCACGGGGTTTGGTTCGCTCTCACGGCACTCAGACAAATATAGCGGCCGTCTCGTGATTCCCCTCCCCCCCGTCTCTACCACAACCCTCGTCCCTCGTTTGCACCTTGCTGTGAGTACAATCAGCGCAGACGCACACGCGTACACATAGACAAAGATCCCCCGTATAGCCTTCACAGATTGTTGGGGAAAATGGTGTTAGCGAGAACCTATGAAGGCCGGCACGGCGCACGAGGGGGTGGGTGGCCAGCATCACACCCGGTCGCCTTTGTCTCCCTAGTGGCGATGTTTACACATTGCACTTGGGACTAATTTGAGGCCGAGTCGACCTAGGGGAGGCCCAGGATCTGTTCAGATAATCGTCACCGGTGTTGGCCGTGAGCGGGATTCGAACTTGGGTCGCGGGATTCGAACTTGGGTCGCCGAATTCGTAGCGAAGCGCCGCTAACCGCATGGTAAGGAGATGATGGCATCCTGAGGAGCAGACTCATGATCGTGTACTGTGTCGCGCCGTTTTTGCCATTCCAAATAACAGCGCGTGTGTTTTAGATTTTAATTGTGCGCGTTAATCGAGAGCTATTATTCCGTTACGAGCTGCCAGCGCAGGACGCTCAAAAGGAGGACCCAGCGCAGGCCCCCAGGAGACCAACACGAGCCGCCAACTGCTCTGACCGAAAACCCCCAGCCGGCGGTTGCCTCGGTGCGTCTGAAGCCTGTTTGTAAATGTCTTTAAATCTGTATTGCCACGAGCAGATTTCCTGCTGAGAGATTGCTGCCTAATGACGGGCATAGACCAGTCACCAGCAGGCTGAATGTGCTTACAAACAAATAGAGCCATGCAGAGTTGTTGACATGGATGCTCTCCAATGTTTAAGTTTTTTCAGTCCAAATGCCGTTGCGGGCTTTCAAGTGGATTTTTAAAGGAGCTTCCCAGCTTGAGCGGATTTTCGAAAGATGATGTGAAATGTATCGTGAATGACTGAGTGAATATATCCTGCCAGGGGTGGTGTTGTAGTTATAGGGTATTTGCCGCACTGTCAGAAACGGGGCACGATTCAAATCTTAGTGGAGCTCAAATTAGCCCACTGTTGTTTTCCATTCGTCATTTTAGATACCAGGGTCACTCTTGCAACTGAGACTATCGTGCTCTCTTAAGTTCTCCCCTGGTTAAACAAGTGGAGGTGACTTGGTCTCTTCAGGGTCAATACAACTATTACCACTACACAGTCACTAGCGGTTGTGCTGCATTTGTGTGTGTCGTGCCGCATGTCGTTTGGCACGATGTCCGATGTTTCGACGTGGTGAAGCTGCCAGCACGTGGGGTAAAACGTCGGACACCAAGCCGAATAACAAGTGGTACGCATTCCGAAAGCACATCGGAGAGATCAAATTATTACCGATATATCGGAGGTGAACAGTTCCCAACCTATTTGAGTGAAGTCAGCAGTGGTCACCCTGTGCATACGAATGTCTCATTTATACCGAACGCATATAAAACCCACTGCCTATGGATAGCTTGAGCAAATTCACTTTGATACGAATACTGTATAACTTGCAGCAATAAATGCGCATACGTGTATACAGCACACCCTCTGTGATGTGTTTGCACACAATGTGCTTTTAGTCAGACCCGGAGAGTTTAAGAGATTTTGGATCAGATCACTCTCGTGCCCTTATATTCTATCGGCGCTCAGATCTACATTGCAAAATAGTTTATTGTACTTAATGGGTGTTCACCCGGTGATATCAACGATAGTTAAATAGACAACATCACGAATGTAATTGCAAGATAAAAACAATGCCATTCCACCAGTCAAACTGCAACTTACGATGCAGTTTGTTATGCTTGGGCTAAATTAGATACAATTACAGCACCGCGTGTGGAGTGCCGGGATTCTTTTTCATATAAAAAGCAATTACCGTGTAATGCTTGCACCATTTGATTCAATGTATACCGCATCACCACGAGAAAATCCTCGTCATAATAACGCTGTGTTTTACGTACACGGTATAGAAATTTGAACCAACGTATACTTCACGAATCAATATTGAAACAGAGCACTGGCGTTATATAAACACTGAATACAACGATAATAGAGTGGGGGTTTTTGGGTAAGATCAGGTCAATATAAATGCGTCGTTAAACCCAGCACCACGCGACACAGCCAATGAGTAAGGTTTGTCAGGTAAACAAAACATGCCAATTTCTTACTAGTACAGCACACCGGTGTGTTAGAGAGTAAACCCACAACATTCACAATTCTAGTACGACGTTTAGCCAGTAATTGCAATAAGCATCACTGTATACACCACACGTACAAGCTATAATGAACGGATCTTGCCCTGAAAATGAGTGACCTAGTCTCAAGCAGAACGCCGCGAATCCGATCGCTGTATTCGGTTGTGGGGAATTTGCTGCAACTTGTCAGTTCGCTGAAGCAATAATAACTGGTGCGCCACACGTGACTAATTCATTTGTGTCGCTGTCGGGTGGTGAAGGGTCGTAACAACACAAGTTTGGCCAGATCATTCCGTGGCCTGACCCAAAAATAAACGATGAATCGTAATGTCGACTGCGAAAATCTACGCGTTAAGATACCCGTAGTTGATGGCATGAAATGCATTAATTTTACGTTGCTTAACAGGACTTCGAATTTAGGAATAAATTATGATCATTTAGGACCAATAGCATGTCAATACATTTGGACTATTCCTGCTCTATGCAGTATAGTTATGCCCACAATTAGTTCCATACTCACGTCCTTGGGAAGAAGACAATGTGAGGCTATAAACCGTGCTATCCACAATTCGCATTACCTACACAATACGGCAGTGTCAGGGACGTATAAACACACTACGACCTATTAAAAGCGCCCTCTGTTGCAAAGTCTGGCAGGTGCATTTTGGCGGAGCGAAAATGCGCAATCACAACTTGGTTCGGTGAAATTTGCACGGCACAACTTATAATACAAAAAAGCATCCATTCAAAGACAAGAGGATTTTCTTACCTGCTGTCGGCAAATGATCACCTGCGCAGATTGCTCAATGCATCTAGCATGGCAGCACCTTGGCTTCTTGAAGATGTCAACGTCAAAGTTTTGTTCTTGGGACGAATGCAGCTCCGTTGGTACTATCGATAGAGGAGACGCGCGTGCTTTGTTGTACACTGCGAGACGAGAGTGTGTGTGGTGTAGTGTGTGGCAGAGATAGAGCGCATGTGTGCGTGTGACAATGGGAAGGCTGCGAGTGAAAAACACCGAGGCACCCTCTGCGTGTGCCTGACATACAGAGAGGCAATGTGTATGACGCAGTCTGAGTGACTGGCGATGCATGTGATAAAAAAAGTGTGCGTCTTTGATGGAGTGTTAGACTCTTTAAAGTGTGCCTGTGTGTCTACGTGTGTCTGCAAATCGGTGGGGCAGAGCATGTGCGTTAGACATAGAGAGATTGAGTCCGTGGGCTGTTATGTGCTGCTTGGTCTGCAGTGCTGAACAACCCAAGAGGGCTGAATTGCACCCAACTCGCAGCTGCACATGCATGCAAGTGAGCGCCTTGGCTGGTGATGCTCACCGCTCCAAAGACACACACACAGGCCATGTAGCTCCACCCACACACACTGTGGGCCCGCCTAGACACACACACACGCACACTGACTTAACGCACAAAGATACACACAAATAGCCCTGCATGCTCCACCCCCTAACGATGTGCACCCACCCACAGAGTAACGTTCTCACACCCCCCTCATTGAACCCCCCCCCATGCCACGTGGACCCGCCTACATGTCAATCAAAAAAACCCCACAAAGTTCCACCGTGCAGCCTACAGAGGATGTGGGGGCAAGTGTTGTTAGCGAGCGTCTTCGAAAGCCAGCCCGTCGAATGCAAGGGGGTGGTGGTGTGGTAAGCACCGCTCTCGGCCGCCTTTGTCTCCCCAGTCTTGTGATTTACACACAGCGCTAAGTACTCATTTAAGGCTGAGTAGATCTAGGGGAAACCCCAGAATGGGTGAATAATCAGCATTGATGTTCGCCGTGTGCGGGAATCGATCTCTGCACGCCGGGATTATGGTCACCGCTCCCCACGCGTTATTAATAATTGTCGCGAAATGACCACATCACGATATATCGAGTGATGCGGTCCACGATAATCGTATCTCATAAAAAAACACACAAATTTCACATTACATTTCCTGACAACATTCTTATGAAATGGCAATAATTAAAGTTCAGGATAACAACTAAGGTGAAACAATTTAAACCGTGCACCCGTGAATTGAACGCGTGCGTTGTAACACGTGTTTTTTTTTAGTAATTGAGGACATATTCTTAGCTCTTTCGGTAAAGTCACGTTGAAGGGAAACAATAAAATAATAAAATATATTTAAAACAATAAAAAATGTATTACTTTATTGTTTCCCTTCAACGTGACTTTGCCGAAAGAGCTAAGAATATGAATTACTGCAGTCACGAAAGCTTTAAATCAAAATTTAATTCAGGACATGTCGATGATATGACGTCATAGTAGTCTGACAGCACGTGCGTTGCGACAAGTATTATCGATGTAAAGTTGCAACAATTGGCGTAGGATTGAGCGAAATGCGGTGGAATTAACAACGACAGTTAAATAGACAACATCGCTGGCTTAACAATGTTATGATAAATTAATATCGCGAGACTCGTCACATCGCCAAAGGTCCCCCGTATAGCCTTCAACAGGCGATTGGGGCAAGTGCTGTTAGCGAGCACCGCCAATGAATGCCCGCACGGCACACGAGCGAGGTTGGTGGCCAGAACCACGCCCGGACGCCTTTGTCTTCCCAATTCTGATGTTTACACACACAGCACCGGGTGCTCATTTTAAGGCTGAGTATACCTAGGGAAGGACCAGGACAGGGTCAGATATGTGCCACTGATGTGAGCGGAAAACTAACACTGGAGCCCTGCTTCCGAAGCGCCATGCGCTAACCACTGCGCCACCATTCCCCACTGAGAGATATACACACACCCCTCTAAGCTCCACCCCCACTCCACGTGGACACGCCCACACAATATGCTAATGTACGAAAATTGACACACCCGCACGTGCAGGACACGCCCCCTCGCCTCATGGACCCGCCCACAAACAACGCGCCTGGCCTGTACCAAAACAAACGGGAGGGGTGAAAATTGTTCAACGAACATCCATTAGAGATTCAGGTCTAAGCGATTTAGCCGTTCAAATGCTTTGTCCCAGAGGTGGTGAATCGCAGATACACCGATTTCATATTTAGATTTGGGTCAGTGCGAACTTACACGATCCATGCAACATTCCTTTGACAGGGATGAGTCTCTGCATAGGATTGCCACTGTTGACTTCTCGACAAAGTGGTATTTATTTTATCGACCCGGAGGGAGGATGGATTGAGTCAACCCCCGGCCTAGGCAATCCTACGATTGCGAGCCGCTCGGCAAAATACGCGAATTGGGCAAATTCTCTGGGGTGAAAGATTTCAGAATCAGAATATGTATTTATACAGGAGGAATCCGATAAGCTATGACGCTCTTTTTCACAGATGTCCAATATTATTAAGGAAGCTGTGGAAGGATGGATGTTGGGGAAGAACTTAGCACATTTGTCAATAACGCTGCCTTTGCACAAAAATAATCCCAGGAGACGTTGTTTCGGGCAATAACCCTTTTTCATGGTACGTGAAGGGGTTATTTGACAAAACGTCACCACGCTACTCAGTGAGGGTTAGTGAAGATGGGGGGAATAGACGCGGGAACATAGAAGTGTGGTACAACAATGTATGTTGTTCCACTGACCTCTGCTAGCCACAGCATAGCCCTGTAGCAGCCGATAACACTTGTGTTTGCATCGTGAGCACCCATCCAAGCACTATCCAGACACAACCTGCTTGACTTCCAGGTGATTAGGTCATGGACTCACAATATTGTAAATGTAAATTGGACATAAAAATCTAGACGCAGCAATAAGCAAAATAGTTTTATTGAATACAATTTTACATTATCTAAAATATTACACAAGATCTACGAACAATATCGATTCCACGGATTGACCATTGTATTATTGCATCAATTTTAGTTTTAGCAGCTGTCACTCAACTTTTATTCTATGGTTCTGAACCCGGGTTGTCTTCAATAATTGTACTTGTTTTTTTTTCTTAACATCTTGCGCAACTTTGTAGCCTTTTATATCAAGTTCTCCAATCCTACCCCGTGATTAATTTCCATTGGTTGCCGTAAAGACTCTCAGCACATTTTACTTATGTAAGTACATTGATTACATTATTTCGCCATTGCAATTTTAAGATAATGTTTTCCTGATGTCGCTGTAAGACCGTGACATCTCTCTGCCATGCCTCTTATCTGCTTTTGAGATGGCTTGAGGACATAGACCACTGACAAATAAAATAGAACAAAAGCTACACAAAAATGAGAGAACACATTCAATTCAGATGCGTTATAGTGACTGTCAAAACACAGTAAGTAGGTTTGGACATTGTAGCTGGAAGGGATGGCGAGAGGGCGATCATTCGTCGTGATGGAGAGGGTGAGATCAGCTCCGAGTAAGACGGATTGTTGCATCGCAAGATAACAATGAAGGGTATGCGATGCAGTGGGGGAGACCTTCAGCCAGCAGTGGATAGAACATGTCTGCTGATTCGTAACTATTGACGCAGCTGAACGGCTCACGTTTAAATTCGCTAACAAAGTGCTTTTTGATTTAAAGCTTTCGTGACTGCAGGGATTCATATTCTTGGTTCTTTCGGTAAAGTCACCACGTAGAAGGGAAACAATAAAATAATAAAAACATAAAACAATAAAATTCTCACGACGTTTCGACTGCAACACAAGCAATCATCATCAGGTGTGAAAACCACAGCAAGAACAATTTCACTTTACCGAAAGAACCAAGAATATAAAGTGCTTTTTCTTGTTATTTTTTATACGTCTCCACTCTATGCTGTTGCAAACGTGTGCGCCTATTTTCTTTACCGCTTTCTAAAACGCCGAGCCAGTGTGAAAGAGTAGGCCAAATACCCTCCTCTCCAGAGCTCCCTCTGGTAGGGGGGCCCTTCTGCTACCAGTGGCTTCAGCTAAACGTTACAAGGCTGTTCCTTCACCCTTCACCTAAACTCATGGTCGCTTTGTTGCCCGGATTCCTTTACACGAAATAGTTTTTGTCATTTTTGGTGACCCGAGATCACCATCGCAAAAACGATCACCGTCGTCTCCGGAGTTCTCGACTGGCTGAACAAAAGTAAATTGATTAAACTTGAAGCTATGTCCAATTTCAATGTTTACCATTCTAAGCCGTGCCCACCACAACCACCCCCCCACCCCCGCCGGTTGAGGAGTCGATGGTTTCGCCCACTGCTCAATCAGCTCGCGGGACGTGGCACCGCGTGGCTCCGTCTCCGCCAGCCGCTCTCTTCACACCTCAGCGCGGTCCTTTGCAATTGTTGCTTTCGATTCCGCTTAACAATAAAACATTCGCCTCTTGTACAACAAGATGTTGCCAAAGATCGCGCCGCTCTGCATGGCCGTGTCGGTAAGAAATCGCCCAAGCCCATAGTCTCTTAACACACCGTCGCCCCCGCGATTAGATTTACCAGCGTGGATAGGCGTGCTCGCTCGCTATTGGACGCAGCGGGGCATCGCTTTACTCTCTAGGCCAATCGCGTCGCAGAGCGCGTCCGGCACGTGGGCGCGCTAGCCAATGGCGTGCGCACAAGACAGCGGTCGATTCTTAAGCGCTCTAGCAAATGTGCGCCCGTTTTACAATGACCCTTGCAAACGTTCCCAGTTGCGTGATGTGTACGTGGAGTGGCGAGATTTTTGACTCATCAGGTTCATTGTGTACTTGGTTTGCTTCTATTCCTAAACGAATTGTAAAACATTATCCAGGCGACGATGTTACGCGTACAGGAGCCGTTTAAGCCACACACGTGCGATGCGGTTGTAACTTTGTGGTTGACTTTTGCACAAGCGATGCACTTTTATTTCGCTGTCGTCTTGTTAAGGGAGTAATACTAACAACAACTCAACAACAGCATTAGTATCACCATTGTGTTAATGCAATAACACTTTAAACACAGGTCATCGTCGGCTTAGTCCTAAACTATCACCGTTACCATAATTCTCTGGGGGGGGGGGGGGTTGGTGGGGCGGTGGCTAAAGTATAACGAGCAACACTTCAGTGAGGTGGATGTATTGGGCCCTGCCACGGGAACGTGGAATTTGTGTGTGTGTGTGTTTTTTTTACCGCTTGGCGGGAACGCGACGCTGATTTCTCGTCATGTCGATGGACCGGGTCGCGTCGTGTGAACGTGGACTTGACGCCGTTGCCTAGGAAGTCGGGTACTGTGTTGCGGGGCAGCAGCGAGCAAATTCATCAGCAAATTACTTGTAATTCTAGATTTGAAGTCTTTCGTGACTGCAGAGATCCATGCTCTTTTGTTTTTTTCGGTAAAGTCACGTAGGTAAAAAAAAATTAGTTAAAAATGAAAACAACTCGATTAAATCACGACGTTTCGCTCCAGCAACGGAAATTTTTGCTGGAGCGGTCACACCTGACGCCGGATGCTTGTGTTGCTACCGAAACGTCGATTTAATTTAGTTGTTTTCATTTTTAATTTATTGTATTTTTTTTACCTACGTGACTTTACCTAAATTACTGTAACTTGTACTTCTAAGCTCCCATGCCTCTTACACTTCCTCCACTTTAATAACCAACCTACGCCGACCGGCATGGGGAGGTATGGTCAGAAAACCCCACACGAATCGCACTGCGTGGTGGAGGCCCACGAGCAGCAGTGAACTGACCAAAAAACACAACAAGCGGCCTCTATAGGAAGTGCCCAGTGACTGAATTGTTGTCGATTTGCAAAACCGTATAAATGTTTAATTTCCACTCGGTGGGGAGTCAGCATTGAATGTCAAGGACAAACTTGGGTGCTGTCATAGGATTGAGGACTTTCCACCACTTGGATGTCAGCAGAGATTGTGTCAAGAGCACGGTGGTACGAGTAAATTCAGTTTTGTCACTTCGCAGGGTTGTGTTTATAGGGGACTGATCCCTTTCATAGGACTATAACAGAAACAACATCCACTTCGTGTAGAACCAGTGGTAATTGTGCCAGAATGTGCCATACTCAATGACTAGGACGCTTCTCCAAATAGTAATTGATGCGTTATTTAGACTCATCCCCGTCATGGTAATGTGTAATTTCCACCGTTGAATACCAAATCTTAAAGGAGATGAGTACTGCCGAATGCTTACTGGAGTACGGGAGTCAAATCTGAACAATCACCTGACTTTTCAGTTGTAGCTGTGCAGAAATGTACACATTTCCGCTTGGCAATATACACTGGGGTTCTAAAGCATTTGTAAAGTTAAACCTCATCACTTGCCAGTTAATCATAATCACGTAAGGCTGTAGGGCAGACGGAACGTGTCACTGTGAATCATTCAATGGAAGCAAATTGTCTCCCTCACCTTTTAGGCCACTGAAGTGGCTGTCGTGAGGCATGTGGGCCACACAGACTGATCACGTGGCCACATTTTTTTTATTGTTTAACTCGAATGGGTATTGCGCTCGTTAGTATTGTGAGTGCTAAAAGTGTCATCGGGTAAGGTTATGGAAGTGTGAAAGAGAGACCAAGAAACACCCTAACATTTTCAAAAGGGAAACACGTATTTTGAGAATTGATATTCTTCACGGTAGCTTTAGGGTTAAAGCTACCGTGAAGAATATCCGGTACACATAGTAGGATATGCCACGTCTCACTCTCACGTGGACCGCAAACACTGTCAGTAGTTCAGTTTTCCAATGGCGGATCTTATTCAATGGACCATTAAGGTTTTTTATTGATTTTCTGGGGGTTTTTTTCCAATGCATATTTGTTGAAGAAGCTCTTTGGCAAGGAAAAAGTGAAAACGTACAAATGGAAAATAAATGAAAATATTAAACATTGGCAACAACAACAAAAATCTACATTTTATTTGCTTGCAAACAAATCTGATGACATTTTCTGGGCACATAATACTCTATAACCTTGTATGTAAAATATGATGGAGTTCATATGATGAACAATAGCTGTAAACAACACAATGAGATCAACTGTAAAAGCTAATTTTATGAAGATAATGCTAGTTATGTGTACATTGACTATATCATTGTATGCACAGTCCTTTTGTCAATTCAATACAATGCTGGTTGAGGAAATATATACAATAGGTGACGTTTCAGGCAATGGCCTTTCTTAGTATATGAATGCCAAGGGTTCTAAGAGGGTGCAGCACGCCTCCCACTCCCTCCCGTTGCAGCAGTACTGGCGTTAACTAGCGGTGGAGTCTTAACACATTATACTCACAACACCGCTCGCTATAATGAGCGCTGTGGGATTTCACTAACAGCCGTCCTCGGTTTAACAGGAGTGGCAGGCACTGGGTAAAGCGTTGACGCGGTGGTTGGTGCATTGCGCTATGAACCCATCGACGCGGGGGTCGATTCCCAGCCACTGCTGCAGAGTACATTCAGTAGAGTGTATTCTTATTGAGTGGGGGCACTCAGATGTTGGTGGCCATGAGGAAGACCTAAAACCACATAGTGGAGGTCAAGTGGTAACTATGCAACAGATGTGTGATCTCAGAATATTTATCAGAATCTTTAATTGTACTGGAGGAATCTGAAGAGCTATTAAGCTCTTGTTCACAGATGTCTAGTAGGGGCAGGGTCAGAAGGTAAAAACAACAAGCAATAAAAAAAAGACACGATCGGAGTGCAAAGTATAGGAAAGGTAAGCAAATCACTCAAATATAGCAGAATGATGGAAGCTTGGCTGATTTGTGGTAGCATAAACCTTTTATCGTGACGACCTCGTGATGTTCAATATCTGTGCGTGTGTGCGTCCCCCGTTAAGGCCCTGTGCGTGTGCGCCGTGCTCTCCGCCAAGTCGGCCCCGCGCGTTGAAAAGCCCGACGATCACAAGGAGCTGAGGAAGATTATCCGCACGCGCAACAACGTGCTGGTGCTCTACCACCAGGGAGGTGGGTGCCTGGTGGTGAATGCGCAGCACCTAAAATGAAAACTTAATACCTCGCAAGGGAGGCTTTGTGAGAAGTCAACTACCTCACCTGGTATACAGGAGGTCCTGGGTTCGATCCCGACCCTGATGCCTGTATATTTTGAGTTTACACGTTTTTCCCTTGGTCGCATGGATTTTTGTCCGGCTGCTCCTGATTATTCCCCTCACCATTTAGAAACATGTGTTTAGAGTATTTGGCTGCTCTAGATTTCCACATGCTGAGCCACTTAATTGGGCTATCATTTGTGGCCAGGTCGCTTCTGAAAAAGAGCTATATAGCTCAGTGGGCCTTACTTGGTCAAAATTTAAATAGTTTATCACGAATATAATGAGCCAAGAATGTTTGTGTGTAACGCGCGTGACGTCACTCCACGGCGACCAGCTCCCCTCATTAATAATCATGAATAGGTGGGGTCCTCCACATGGACCCCCCTCCCTGGTCATTAATAATCATGAATGGGTGACGTCACTCTACATGAGGAAGGTGGAGTTGAAACGAAAATTCATTTACGCAAATTATCTTTCATTTTGACCTTTTTTTATGGAAAGTAAAGCTAATAAAGAAATCAACGCACTAACTAATATAACGAGCAAAAAAAGCTGTGTGTGTGCCCCGTGCGTGACGTCACTTCACATGAGGCCCCCAAACCATTAATAATCATGAGTGGGTGACGTCACTCCACATGCCACACCCCTCCCCATTAACCATGAGGGGGTGTCATCACTCCACATGCCGCACCACTCCCCAATAACCATAAGCGGGTGATGTCACTCCACATGGGGCAACCCCCCCCCCCCTCATTAATAATCATAAGCTGAACAATTTTTCTATTTAATGTCAGATTTACTGCAATATACACCCGTCCTTGGACGGGCAAACAAGCTAGTAGTTTAAATAGTGTGGCAGGCAGTGATGTTATGCTTTATAAAAAAAAAAAGTTCTGCTTAAAGTCATTTTCTTGAGTATCAGGTCATAACATGAACCCGAAGAATCCTGACGGTGACTTGGTTTTTCCGTTTGAGCCCTGGATACTAACACTCAACCCTAAGAATCTGGAAAGTACCTCGTGCTGTTTAAAGAAAAATGCGTCCCTCCTCAAATCAATGATGGAGCGGTGCTCATCACTATTGGTCTTAAGCCAGTGGTGGAAATTCCACGTTTAGATGGCAGAAGCCATCTAAACTTTAAAATAAATTAATGTTAAATTCCCACAAAGTGGTGCTGTTTTGTTTTTATCAACCAGCCTCTTTGTCAATCCGCTGCTGGATGAGGGCCTCCCCTTATCATGCAGACGGTGATTGACTACATTACACATAACCAGGCTGAGATGACTTGCGCACGAGATTACCAGAAGAACTTATAATTGTAAATTCCCAGAACAAAATAAAAGAAAATTTAGATTTTATGTGAATAAAATCTGAGATTTACTAAATGACGGTACCTATCTTGAAATTTAGCAAGACCCAACCAATACATTGGAACTCATGACGAGAGCACAAACATCCACAAAATCATAAATCCCGAATTAACTATTTTTAGTGAGGGTTAAGATTTTAATTTTGAGGTTGTTGGATTGCAGAGAGCTCGTCATGCGTGCAAACGATTCTGCCGGGCTGTGAGAAGGCCAGGAGATGATAGTGCAAGACATGGGTTTGCACCCACGTAATGTTTTAAAAATACTCAAAAAGCATTTGCTCAAACATCCCAATGGAGAGGACCCTCTCAAAAAATAATCTTGATGATTCACGGGACTTTCCTAGATAGATGGCTATTATGTCTTGCTTTGCAAGGGTCCTGCTCGGGATGTTATGTTGATGACTATTTCAGTCTTTGTTTTTAACTGTGTGTTTGTGGGAGGAAAGTGGAGTGCCTGGAGAAAACGCATGTATACAAGAATGAACACTTGTAAAATCACAGATTTGTCAAAAGATTGCTTCCGCTTATTGGTGTCATGATCTAGAAAACCGTCCAATAAAGTTATTGGTGCATTGTAACTGTATCATGATTTTAAAGAAAGCTGGCTGTTGGTATACACATTCACAAACAGGCAAATGAACACTCACAGCTGTCCGAGACAAACTAACAATTAACCCAGGTTAATGCCATTTATGCAAAGGTCTCTCCATTCTACCCCTTAGCCTTTTCAAATAACACTAATCTCTCTTCTGTCTCTTGACAAACGTGCACATGCATTCGCACACAAAGACACATTTGTATTTACACTGGCTTCACTAATATCCATGTTTCTCACTAATTCTAAGTTGGCCTGGTTTCAATCAATGTGGATTAGCAGAAGTCTATCAAATAATACACCCTGAGGGTGGGAGTGATGTTGGGTGCATTACATCTCCGCAAGAAAACCGATACTGGTATACAATCTATGCTTGGAAGTCTCTATCTTGTTGTTTAATGGTATTGAAGCAGTGGGTTTTATTGAGTAATGCAACACTGTTGTGCGCAGATATTGTCAGAGTCGTGCTAGGATGACTGAAGTCTGTTTCAAACAATGGACCCAATTAAATGCCAACTGCAATTTGCAGAAAAAAGGCCGGCACTTAATATTGCGCCACAGAGGGAGGGCATTGGCACGTTCTCTGTTCTATAGAGATGTGAAGTCAAGTCCAATTCAACGAGTCTCCTTGCTCAAATGAACAGTGGAGGGTCACCATCTCCCTTGGCGCACCCCCTGAACCAAGTGTTAGAAATTCCACTTTTGCACGTCTGTTGCCTTTCCAGAAAAAACGTGATAACTCATTGTTAAAAACACTGCAGTAAAGAAAGATAGGCTGGGTCTTCTCCAACATGGATTTTAAATTAAAACCTTAAGCACTCTAGCCGTGCTGTCACGCAGCCACTACAATCTTTATTACACAGAGAACTCTAGAAAAGCTAAAGTCCAATGAGCCAACCAACAGGTGTGGTTACGTAAAGTTGTTGGTATAAAAATAAACTCGGAAAGATTGACTACCTGGGATTGTTGTGTTGTAATTAAATGTAAAAAAATAAAGCAGGGTGGCTTGCATAGCCTCGTAATTGGTGAACCTTCAATCAAGCCGAAATCATTGCTTCAATTCCTGCTGCCTCCCAGTCACATGCAGTTCTTTATACAAGTAAGATCCCACTCTAACATTTGCATTCAAGACCATTACATAAAAAACGTAGACATTGTATACACGTATAGTGAGATTCATTTGCAAATATTTAAATTCAAATTTTGTCCGTAACTAAATTCTGTAATACTGATGCTAATAATCGGCCTGGTGGCATTGTGGTCAGTGTGTCCAACTCTCAATCAAATGGATTTTACTTACAAATCCCAGTCGTTCAGCTCTCCACGGTCGAAAAAAATAAGGACTACTTTTCACGGGAAGTCGGTGATGACTTACCTGGAATAGGAATGTGGAAATACCACCACTGTAAAAATAGGTGAGCACCACCCAACACTGGCTTGAACTGAAATGCACCTTAATCAGACTAGTGCATACTAATCGTGGTCTATACATAAGTACAGTTCCCTGGTTTACCCTCGCATAACTGATCCTACTTAAGACCTTGTCTCAGGTGCTTTATCTCTCTCTCACCTGAAGACGATTGCTTGTGTTGCGATCGAAACGTCGTGATATTTTATTATTTTTCTATCTACGTGGCTTTACCGAAAGACCCATAGGCTATGATCCTACTTCTCAATAGTTGTCTGATAAAAACATGCTTTGCTTGGATTGACCGGAGCATCCCACCCCCTGCTATGTCTGCATGTTGAATTTTGCAATAAACAGTCAAATCAACTGCAGCAGTTTCTTCAAAGGGATGTTTTCAGTTCAGGTTATTACCGTATATATGCGGTCACCGGTAATTGCTCGCCAATTGCCATGCAACCCCAGCCCCCACAGGTTCCCAGTAATTATGTGGGGCTTGCACATTTCCCTGGTGGTGCCAACGAGCATTTTTAAAGTTAATTATCCGGAAATTACGTAGTAATTCTTGTAGCATCCCTGAAAGTGCAACCCCCTTACTCAACCCCCCCCCCTCGGCCAGACCAACTGATTGATTGAAAGATTTCTGGTTTTCTCTTTTTTTAGGTTAACTTCACAGAGCTAATGTTGTGTATTGTTGTATGTGTATCCAAGCGTAACGATTTCTGGTTGCGTGTGCTTGAGAAAGAAGTGTTTTTTTAGGTTCATTTAGACGTTACATTTGAACGCGTGTCTCTAGACAGATTTTTTTTTAAATTTCGGCTCCGAAACAAATTGGCCATTAATCTCCCAGCTCAATCAAGCGATTGCGGTGTGCACATTGTCTGTGGTGACCTTTGAACCAATGATGAAAATTACACATTCCACGTGGTGGGAGCATTCTCTGTGGTGATGATTGGCTAAAACTAGATGTGTAATGGGGATATTCAAGTAGTAAGTAGTACTTGTTATCACAAATATACTTCGTAAGAAAACCGTAGCCAATTGCACGTGTAAATCCTTGGATTTTGCTCGTATTTAAATTAATCTTCTCCAGTTATTTTCCAGTAGCGCTTTGAGCATCAGATGAATGCATGTTGTCCATTCACGTCCGCCACAGTGGTGAGTGCTGTATCACGTCAGGGAACGGCCCCTGGTGATGGCACCATTAGACTTCCTTTGTAGCGGCCTCTTATCCACACGGGCTTGCTCTGCAAAGATGGTTTGTTCTGTGGGAATAAACGATATATTTTGTAACTTAGTAGAGCTGCTATGTACCTAATTAATGCACATAACTGCTCCCTTGTACATATCTCCTTTGCTGTGTGTCCTGGCCTCTCTCCCGCACTCGTTTCAAGGTTCGTTCATGAAAAATCTTTAGATTTTGCATCTGTCATCCCATACTTGGTGTTACCTTGGCAGTGATATTACGCTATTTAAGCCCTTTGACTATCGCTTTAAATGCTTTTTTTTGGTTCTCATTTGCAAGGAATACAACTCTTCTATTTTTTTAAATAAATGGACACAGTTTAGATAAACTCCTTTACGCATTAAACATATAATGTCGTGGAGTTGTGCCATCATCGATCATTGATGGGGCTGAGACCTCTGCGTTGTTATACTGTACTTATTATATATCTTTTTTTACCTCTTAGCTTTTTACTTAATATTTGATCAACATAGTGGTCAGTTTCAAAACCACTGAGCCAAGTTGTCTCGTTTCAAAGGTTTGATTGCCAATAGTTTCCATTAGATATAACCCAAGTATGTTATAAAGTAGACAATTGGGGGATATTGCCAATGTCAACTTAGCTATATATCATATGTGGCGATACATCCCACGTAGGTGGGCTTTTTTACCCCCATCGTGCTTTTCTTATTGTGCATCTTTGTGCTTTCCACTCTGTATGATTTCAAGGTCTCATAAATAAAACCTGCTATTGCATTGAGCTCTTGGCTGATCATAACCAATTATTTAATCTCTGCATTCATTGAGTGTAATGAGTACTATCAGTTGCATCCACTTCAGAAATTGCTGGAGCGATACATTGCACAGTGATGAAAATATGTTATTGTCCCCGTAACCTTGAACAACATTTGTTGGTGCTCTTTTTTGTTGATGTTCTTGAGCCAGTGGTGGAAATTCAACATTCACATGTTTGAGCCTGGCATGTCTTTAATGCAGTTGTTCTTGACTGCTTACCGAGCAGTGCAGTCTCTCCCAAATGGTGCTCCTATTACCAACCACAGGGGGTCACTCGCCCGAGTCCAACTTCCCTGGGATATGAACTCCTGACCTTCCAAGTAATAAGATCACCCCACCACCAGCCCCGATAATGGATGTCAGAAAATATAACAACGTAAGGTGGCGTTCGTCGTTTCGTTCTGCAGCTGCCGCTGAGAATCCAGGATAGAACTTTAGATGATCAAGTGATGTGGCAGAAGATCAATTGTCTTGACCTTTTGTTTACGTGCACTGCTCACACAGAATCAGTGTGTTGTCATGGCTGCCAGCCACTCAAACTAAATCTACTGACAGTGCGCATTTTTCTTCCCTGCTGTGTGTTAGTTAGTTTGGAATTGTCCTCAAGTTAAAGCTACTCCTGACAGCTTTTGCCCTACAATATATGCCAATTTGATGTACTGCCTATCCCAAGCCATGTTGAAGGGTGTGTTTTATGTGCATCATACTGGTAGTAAACGTAATGGACTGGCAGCCCAACCGGGATTAATTCACAGGAGGCAGAGGATTAATTGTGTATGTCTGTGGATGTCTGTCCGCGTATATTCGGACACCCGGATATATAACAAATGCGCTCCTAGTGGGCATTACTGGTAGGAAACGTAGTGGACTGGAATCCCAACCGGGATTAATTCACAGGAGGCAGGGGATTAATTGTGTATGTCTGTGGATGTCTGTCCACGTGTATCCGGACACCCGGATATATAACAAATGCGCTCCTAGTGGGCATTACTGGTAGGAAACGTAGTGGACTGGAAGCCCAACCGGGATTAATTCACAGGAGGCAGGGGATTAAGTGTATATGTCTCTGGATGTCTGTCCGGATAAAATGGGAGGGGTGGGGCTGGGTGGAGAGGGGAGGGTGGGGAGGGGCTGGGTGGGGAGGGGAGGGTGGGGAGGGGCTGGGGAGGGTGGAGAGGGGCTGGGTGGGGAGGGGCTGGGTGGGGAGGGGCTGGGTGGGGAGGGTGGGGCTGGGTGGGGAGGGTGGGACTGGGTGGGGAGGGGCTGGTCACCCCGTGGTACCCTTATAAAACTCAACGTTTAACCTACTCACGCCGGCTTGTGCCCGCCCTCACAGTCGGGCATATTTGCAGAATACACCATGCCGCCGTTGACCCTGGCCATTGACCGAGCAACCCAACGTTCCTACCACCTCCCTCCGCAGGAATGTGTTCATCTTCAGACGTAACATTCTGCATCGACCTGGAAATGAGCACTTCTGTCTGTGTGGGATACAACACCTACGGAGCTTTGCAACAGTAATTTCTCTTATTTGTACGAGTTAAAACGCCTCGGTGTTTCTCAGTGTTGTAATGCACATTGGGCGGTCCTTATCTTCAATGGCAGCTCTAAGCAGTGGTGGAAATTCCACGTTTGTAAGGCAGTAATCAGACTCTTGATTGTAGAACTGTTATTGTTTTCTTCTGCCCACAGCTGTACTTATTTTATCAACTTAAGGGAAAAATGGGATGGAGTGACCTGGATTTGAACCTCCAACCACCTGATGGAGAGTTGGGCACTCAAACCGCAATGCACCCAGAACAGTGTTTAGTATCATAATTAATTTATTAAGTTGTATTGAATTGACTTCCAACCAGGATATGAACTCAGTGCTGTGGGGTTTTGAGGTGTGTAGGGCTGCCCTGCCACATCACCACTCAGCTGCACTGCCCGTAAAAGTGCTCGAATTACGTTTGTCCATCTTCCCTCTGGTTATCGTGTCTGCGTGCGCATTCTCTCTTGGCTGTCTCCTCTTGTCACTCGTAAATAAAGCTGAAACCAATTGACATGGTTCATTGCAGTCAGAAGGCTGAAAAGTGATTCCCATTTGGGAGTCTTGTGGGTCCATTGTCATCCCAAAAGAGTCGATGAAATTATATTATTCGGTGGAAAGTCAGCAGTGGTCATCCCATGAAGAGCCTGGCTCTGTCATGGAAATTTGGGATTTTCACATCTTGTTGAGGGCCACTATGCTTGCCTTAGCGTGAATAATCTTTTACTTGAGTAGACATTTGCTATAATCCACTGGAGGTGAAAATTAATCCACGGTTTTTGTTTTGTAATCTGGTCGCTACATCAGTGGATGTTGCCATGGTCAGAATCAGAATTTTTGTTCAGACTGGAGGAATCCGGTGTAATAGTTCACACTTGTTAACAGAGGTCGATTTGATTTCCTGGCGCTGCAGTTGGAACAATCGCGGGAGTTCTTAAATTCCACCACCTCTGTCCACCCAGCCGTACAAATGGGTACAGCACAGTGAGTCGTTCGACAGGTTGTGTGTGGTGGGGTATTGTTTGGTTTCTCCGACATCTTCCAGGAGATCTGGAAGATGTCGGAGACCCTTCTGTCAGCAGTGGCATGAGCTAGTAGTTGCAGGGCTGCACTTTTTCTTTACACATGCTGTTATTATAACCTCACCTTTTGCTTCTGTTTGTGGCAGAATCTGGCTTGGACAAGAAACTAAAGCTTCTGTCAGACGTAGGGCAGGCAGTGCGCGGTAGCGGTACTGTGGCGTGGGTGGACTGCGGGTAAGGATACCTTCACACTCTCGGTGGAATGCTCTCACTCACCCTTGCCTCTTGCAATCGAGTGTGCAAAGAAGGGGGGGACATCTGGTGCAGAGTGTCGGTACTGTGTGTTGCATCGACAGGAACTCGGAAGGCCGGAAGCTATGCAAGAAGATGAAAGTGGAACCTGGAGGGACCAGCAAACTGATGCATTACAAGTGAGCCTCTGAGCAGGGAATCTACAAACGCACTCACGTGCCGGCATCGTGAATAGTTTCTCTCCAATGCCCCCGACCATCTTGCATCCAGAGTACAAGAGGGCTATTTGTCTTTGTGTGTGTATTCCTCAGGGATGGAGAGTTCCACGTGGAATACGATCGCGCTGAAACATTTAAGGTACCAACTTCGTTTAACATTCACTGCTCTGTCACTCCAACCGGTTGGGCTTACCATGGGGATAGACTGGCCCCCGTCGTAGGCGAATGGCATTTCCATAACCACCGGTGGAGAAGAGAACAGTCCCTATGCTCTATTGCATGTTTTGGGCTGTGACTGTCATACATGGGTTGACTGTTGCAAATATTACCATGGGATTTTTGTGCTTTCATTGAACACAATGTATGTTGGTAATTCCCTGCAGAAACCATTGATGGAGTGGGAATCAAACGACTGGCTCCGACATGATGTGAACATACTAATCACTCAGTAATTCAGTCAGCTAGTATTCTCGTTTGTTGTGTTTAATTTTATATAAATAAAGTTATATTTACCATGTCTGTCTCAGTATAAAAACTAAAGGCTTAAGTCAATGCTAGTTGCGCCTTCCAGGAAATTATGTTTGTTTTGTAGATTATTATGGGGAGCTGTGGGATAGCAGTTCAAGATATTCAATCTTTGCACATTGAGATGTCTAATGCAGCATGCACCACATACTGAAACGATGTTTTGTTTCAGCACAACTTCGCAGAGTTTGACCTTGAGTAGTAAAACACGACACTGGCAAAATAGATGTTTGAAAACATAACAAACACGAAGATTACTGCTCAAGAAACTTTTATTGACAGCAGTTCTCTGCCTGGTCTCAGGTCCCCTGCCGGGCTGTGCCCTGTGGAATTTCATCAGCTGTCTGGCCCTCCCTTCAAACATACTCTCCTTCATCTTTGCCTTTGTGTTTGTGTGAACAGTCACAGTCTTGATTTGAAGCTTTCATAACTGCAGGAAACCATACTCTTTATTTCTTTCGGTAAAGTCACGTAGGTAGAAAAATAATAATTGATCACGACGTTTCGATCGCCACACAAGCAACCGTCACAGCATTGTCATATGCATGCAGAATGCATAATGTGCAATCGCACAAAAATATAAGTTTTTAGATTACTGATGTCTCTCAATCCTGTCAGCTGACAAAGTCGTTGGGGCGTCTGACTCGCAATTACAAGTCTGCGAGTTGATATTCTGCTTTGGGGGTCAATTAAACGGGCTGCTCCTTCCGTGTCAATACATTGGATACGAGTGTGTTTTTTGCGAGGTTATGGGTGACTTCTCCTACCGGGGAGACTTGGCTCCTGCCACGGAAATGTTGATCTTTACCGCGGGCGCAGGATGGCCAGAGGAGATGAGGGAGAGGTGTTTACCACCGAAAACAATAGTTCAAGCAGGAAGAAACTTTTTGCCTTTCAGTTTTTGACTGGTGTCACCAACCGTACTATGATTATGCCATCAATGTCAGGCACACGAATAAGCGCTTTGTCCTTATTCTTTATTTATTGCATTTTAAGCCCGTTTGTCTAAAAGATGGTCAGCCTTGGTAAAGAGATGTTTTATAGCCGGGTGTCCCGGTAGTTAATGCTTTTCCTGTGAAAGGTCATGTAGTCAGCACTGCTGAGATCCTGGATTAAAATCCCAGGTTTCGTGCTCTCACCTTCGTCATACAAATTATTACTTGTAAGGTGTTGTGCGTCATTTTGTAAAGCCCTAGCCCTGAGGATACTAACTGGTACAGACATGGGGAGTGAACCACCCACTCAAAGGTTATTACAGCCCAATTGTTTACGCAGCACTATGTTGCTTAGCAAAATGTTTGTGGGTGACTGCATATGCCTAACTGCATCTGTGTTTGGTTGTGTATCAATGTGCAAATCCCAATGTGGTTTTTTTTCTTCTGCCTGTGAAAAGTCTTTTGTATGTTTGTGCCTGTGACTTTGTGTATATGGTCCTCTACGTGGAGAGCGGTCGTGTAACGGTTTGCGTGCTATGCTACGAAACCTGGCTCAGCCATAAAGCAGCACCGTATGCAGTGTTTAAATATCAGTGCTGGGGAATGAAAGACAACCGGGCATGGTGCTGGTCACACCACCTGACATTGCATGCCATGCGAGCGGTTGAAGGTGTCCCATTAGTTGAGAAGTCTAACCCTGGATCTTTGTTCACCGCTGCTCGTGTGCCTACGTCTTTTGCGCGATCGCCCGCTGCACTCTCGCGCCGTCCGCTTGCACTCGTCTCTGACCTCGTCCCCATCCTCCCCTCCGCCGCAGTCGCTGGTGGCGTTCATGTACGACCCCACGGGAGACCCGCTGTGGGAGGAGGAGCCCGATGCCAAGGATGTTGTGCACGTGCACAGTGATAAGGTATCGGACTTGGGGGGGGGGGGGGGGGAAGCTCGCGCGGCTTGGCTCATGTGCCAGGCCACCCCGACTCCACCACGACCCTGCTATGACCCCTTACAAAGCATATACATCCAGAATAAATGCCTCATTCGAGAACGAAGAATCGCACCGGCTGGCTCTGACATTCCTCGAAGACACCGGTGCAACCATCAGCCTCATTAGAACATGAACAGGCCGATGTGCCTGTCATCTTTATAAGTGGAAAATTACAGACAAGACAGTGCCATGCAGCCCAAACGATGGAGCATGTAGTAAACCACTGTAGTCTGCGCTCCTTCAATGGGGAAATAGCAAAACTACACGAACTCTCTCATGAAGCCCTTTCATGGTGAGCAGACCTCGACATATGCATTCAGCTCCTGAACCATATGGTCATCAGTATAAATATAATCGAACAGCACAATACAATTATTATTTGGATATGCAGAGCATATGAACACAGGATAACCTCGCTGAGCGTGGTTTTTTATCGAACACGTGCTTCGGCTACAAACCGTTTACCTCATGAGGCCTATTTTACGGAACACGGAGGGCGATTTTTCGGCTATACGCGGTTTGACGCTGATAAAAATTCTCATTTCCGCGTCGAAAATTAGTGCGCGGTCCACTTGTGCTCTTGTCAGATAGGCTTGTGAGAGGTGAGAGTGCCGCATCTGTTGGAAGGTACTATGGTGTTAACGAATCGACTGAGAACGATTTATTTACCACGTAAGTATTTTGCATATGGTTTTTTTTTCGTGTGTGCGATAATGTAACACATACTCAACATGCTCACGCACAATACAGTTGATCACACACATTGTCGCATGCATCTAGCCGTACACTCGTTGAGGACGTCAGTCATACGGATGCCTAGATGGCAATTCGTTAACGTTCGAGTGATGGTGTTAGGGGGGCGGGCGTCGAGCTGACAATTCAGTGTCAGGGGCGAGTGTCGGGCTGGCAATTCAGTGTCAGGGGCGAGTGTTGAGCTCGGGTACCACGGTACGGGAAGATTAATGAAGATGGGGTTTTGTATTGAGGTGAAGTTGAACGAATGTACAAGTAGAATTAGTTAAGAAAAGAGGGACGAGGTGATCATTTTGGACCAGGAATGCAACCCTATTTTTCCCATGAGGTCCATTATTTGAAACTGTATTCTTTGGTTCTTTCGGTAAAGTCACGTAGGTAGAAAATTAGTATTAAGAGCATTTCTATTTATTTATTTTATTATAAAATTAAATTAAACATTCTTTTTTTTATTTCATTTTTGTACCTTCGTGACTTTACCGAAATAACCAAAGAGTATGGATTCCTGCAGTCACGAAAGCTTTAAATGAACTACGTATGTATATTCTTGGTTCTTTCGCTAAAGTCACGTAGAAGGGAAACAATAAAATAATAAAAATATAAAAAATAAAATTCTCACGACGTTTCGACTGCAACACAATCAATCATCGTATGTTCAAATTATTTTGCACCGCACGTAGCCAACTGTGGTAATCGGAGGTGCGGAGTAACCACCGATCGAGCAAATATTTTATTGATGTCTCAGGAGGCAGCGTGGGCAACTTGAGAGGAGGGCAGAGGCGAGCAGAAAGAAGTGAGATTAGCGAAGGGAGGTCAGTGAGACTAAGAACATAACGATGAAAATTATAAAGTGAAAATGTTTAAATAAAACCGATATAATTTGGAGCAAGAAGAAGAAGAGTATGAGGATGGGAGTGATGCAGTCTCATTTGTGGGCGCGGGTGAGAAGTATTGAGTGTATCATATTTGTGTCGTATTTATTTGTTGGTATTCATCAGCCTTTGCTTCTGCGAAATCACAGTGGCTTCCTTCCAGCCCTGCAAAGCTTCAATTCATCTCACTCCTACATCTGCCCTCTACACCACTCCCTCTTATCGCTCTTCACCCCCCCCCCCCCCAGCTGTAAGTCGCCTTTCTCAACCGCTGGAAATATAAAATTGTGTTCTTTGTCATTTCGCATCATTGTCCCATAATGCTGGCTACACCTCAGTCTTTCTGTGTGCAGTCTGTTTTGGCAAGTCATGTGCTTTGGAGTTGCGAGCTGGAATCCTAAAAAAAAACCTCAATTGTATTCAAATATTTGATCTATTATGTGATTTTATCTTGATTTGAAGCTTTTGTGACTGCAGGAATCCATACTCTTTGGTTCTTTCAGTAAATTCACGTAGGTAGCAAAATAAAATAAAAAATATAATAAAGTATGTTCTTTTTCTACCTACGTGACTTTAACGAAAGAACCAAAGAGTATGTGATTTGTTACATGAAAACGAAGTAGGAGGAATGTTAATCCGCTGATTGCTTATTGCATCTATCTGTTATACAGAATGTAAATACCATGTGTTTACATTTTTTACAACTGATAGGTCGGTGGCTTTTACATTCTGCAGCCAGACTTTTTTTCCAAGACAACTTTGGCTGCACCTTTGAGCCAATCACCCAGAATGTGGCCCGATCTCATGAGACCTCAAAAGCTAAGCAGGTTTTTGAGCCTGGATAGTGCTTGGATGGGCGACCGCCACCGTGCATAATGCAGGTGTTGTAGGCTGCTTGCAGGGCTGTGGCGGAAGCAGTCGGCGGTGCAGCAACTACATTGTTGTACGCTGTGATGCTCCACCACCTAACGCTCCCCAATTCACAAACCCACACAAGACCAACGTGGTGACGTACGGTCGAATAACTCTCACGACCCACACGGGATTTGCTGTACGCTAACAACTTTAAACGGGTGACATAAACATGTCAATTTGATTATCCCATATCACGTATTATTTGGCTTAGGGAATGTGTGTGTGTGTGTGTGCACCTTGCCTGGCGCAAGCATCACGGTGATGTCACTGCCAGTTCGAGGCAAATGTCAGCTGTTGATGTTGGAGTGTGTTCGTGATTTTGTGAGTACTAGTTGAGTGTCGTAGTTTGCATTGCATTGTGATCCCGGCGATAGGGAGTTAGATTCCCAGACATTCACAATGTCCAGTGAGAAAAAGGCAACTGGGCATGGTGCTGGCCACTCTATTCACTCATGTGTTGTGCCTGACCTTATTAGGGGCTCAGTAACAGCACTTGCCTCCCAACAGTCTATATGGCTAAGTAAGGGGATTTATTTGTGTGTGTGTGTGCGCTATGTTTTGGGAAGTGAGTCCACTTTTAGTGTAGCAAACTTATCCTGCACATGTGATGAGAGAACTTGGTTCAAGTTTACTTTAACAGTCTAATGGGGAATTTCAATTACTCTGAGATTAATGGACAAATCTACCCTGAGGCGTTTCGTTCTGCAGCCCTTTATAGAAATCTGTTCTGGCCTATTCACTCGAATGTTCGGCTCATCGCAATTAGAGTCCGAATGTCAGACTGTTGGTACATTTATTTCGATATACAGTATGTCAGGCTACATTAAAATAAAACAACTACTCTGCTTTGTTTGAAAAAAAGTTTTTGCTTGATTGTCCTAATGCGGTGATTTATATGAAGAAAATAAAAGGCAATCACAAGTAAACAAAAAGCATAAATTGCAATGTTAAAATGCAACATGGTTATGCATTAAATATAAATTAATCTAACTACATTCCATCTATGTATCATTTGCTCTCTCTTGACAAATCTATTTTCAACCAGTATAAATCTGTCACATTATACTAAACTATTTTATAATTAAAAAATGTTTTACCAGGTAAGACCCACTGAGCTATGTAGCTCATTTTCATAAGCGACCTGGCCACAAATGATAGCTCAACGAAGTGGCTTATCACAAAATGTATCGCAGAAACCAAATACTCTAAACACATGTTTCTAAGTGTGGAGGGAAATACCGGAGGGCCGCGAGAAAAATCCACGCGACCACAGGGAGAGAGACACGCAAACTCCAAATATACAGGAGGTGTCAGGATCTAGATCGAACCCACGACCTCCTGCATACCAGGCGAGGGAGTTAACATCTCGCCGCCGTGATTGATAATTAATTAGACATAAGCGCTGCACATGTACAAGAATATAACATATACATTTTGAATAAATCTTGCTCCATTTGTAAATCTCATCCCAAAATTCATACATGGTTAGGAATTGAGCTTGGGTCACTTTGCAAGTTTACTGCGCTAAGCGGTACGCTCGCTACCGTGAAACAGCGCTTGCGCGGACACAGATACTCGCGTGCATGCACGGCGATAGCACATCCTCGCCCGCTGGAATGCTCTTCCGATATTAGGAAACCACTGGAGCAATGCACTTTTAAACCTAGATTGAAAACTGATTTCTTTAGAACTGTTTTTTTGTGATTAGCTTATTGTCCTTCCACAGAACCTCCGATTAGCACGTTTGGCTACGCACAGTGCGAAAGAAGTTCCAAAATACATACATACATCAGCTGTGCGTGATTTCACCCCGTTACTCTCATGGCTTTCGATTGACTCTGATGTTTCTTTCCCCAACTGTGCCGTTATGTCATGTAGGAGTTCCGATTGCTGCTCAAGAAAGAAGAAAGACCCATCCTCATGATGTTTTACGCTCCCTGTGAGTCCCATCTATAATCACAAAGCACAGCTCACAGCCTGGCATTTAATAGATAATGATGTTTTGGAGATTATGGCCTGAAGTAAAAAAACCAAGTTCTGTTTGAAGCTTGCAGGGCATGCATGTTTTGTGTAAGATAAGACATTTTGAAACTTGGGAGTTGTGCACTTTCCATGCGATGTCACAGGGAATATGTATCATTCTGGCATGTGCTCCGATTGCTGGTAATAATTTCCATTTGTAAGATTAAAAAAATTGCTCTCAATGCCCCCTCCCATCTTTGCTACTGGACGGACAAATTATGTGTCCGTCGTTTTTGCCCTATCGCTTAATAGATCAGCTGATATCCTGAGGGTGCGTGGGTAGCCTGCGCCGCCGCAGAGTTGTTCTGCGCTTTGTGCGCTTGACTTGCAGCCGGATGGTTGCGAGTTCAAATCTCATTCGGTGGTCGGCTCCTCAAATTTACACCACTGCCTCAGGAATCCCGATGCTCATTTAACCAGACCAACCCTTAGACTTGGCCGTTACGACTAGCGTGGCGTACACGTCGTGTGGTGTGGCCAGGACTACGCCCAGCCTCCATTGTCTTCCGAGTACCGATGTTCGCGTACTGCATCGGGCCACAATTTGATCGAAGACACACCAAGAATAACAATTGCAACAATTAAAAGTTCCACAGCGGCTAAACTTGATTGCACCTCAAGATGCTTTGCGTTAGGGGAAGAAGGTAGAGCAGGCACATGTGGGGGTAGAGAATCGAGAGTAGGAGCGCTGACCAGGCTTGACAATGAGGCCAAGTTCAGGGGGATGAAGCAGAAAGGGCCCAACGAAATTCAGGGGCAGCGCCTGTGAGTCCCAGGGGACGCACAGTCTCGGTGGGTGCCCAGTTTAGGGGACCCCTAATTTACCACTTTGCCACGAAGGTGCGTGGACACAAATGGAACCCATATGGTCAAGCTGATGCGGCGTCTAAACATCGACATTCGGGGAGACAAAGGGAACCAGGTCACTCCACTCCCGCACGTGGTAGTAGTAACGACCATGTGGTCTAACCCAAAAAGCAAATATGGTTAATTTTATTGGCAAAGACCTACGTTTTAAGTTACGTTGGACCCATTTGACTGGAACCAAAGCATAGAGCACTGAGCATTTTGCCCCTACTCACCACTACACAGACAAAGATCCCCCATGTAGCCTTTAACAGATATTGGCACCAAGCGCTTAAAGGCTGGCACCCCACACGAGGTGGTGTTGTGACCATCGACACGCCTGGCCGGATTTGTCTCCCCCCGGCGCTGACGTTTTAGACACACGCACCAGTTGCTCATTTTTAAAGCCACGTGGACCTCGGGGTCACATTGCGCTAACCGCTACGCCGCCGCTCCCCCCACTCACCGCTGCGTCCACACACGAGCACGCTGCTGCTGCTGCTGCTGCTGCACCTCGCCACCGTGCCGGCTTAGAATAACACGGAGAGGGAAAGTCACGCAGGCCAGGCGCCCCTCGCGCCCAGTGTCGGCCGTTAACGCCCGGAGGGGGCAGTCCCGGCGTATTGGTAACACCGGGGCCACCACTCTTGGGGAGGTAGGTGGGGGGGGGGCGGGCGGCGTTCTGCCGCACTCGGCCTGAAATTCCGCTGACTCGCCCGCCGAGCAGATGTTGAAGGTCAGCGAGGAAGCGGACGCTGACGGCGCTGGCTGTGCGGGCCGTCGCGCAAGAGGTCCAATTCCTTCGCTTGCTTACTTAGGATCTCCTTACCACTTTAAGGAGACACGTCTTATTGTTGCCGGTGTCCGCGGGCACACGCGTGTGTCTGCGTCCACGAGGGGTGATTAAGAAGTCTGGCCTGACGGAAAGCGAGCACCGACTTTTGTGAAGCTGTGTTATTTTTTTGGATCGTTCTCTTGAAGCGCAATGCATTTGGTCCTTCGATGTTCCGAGGCTTTAATTCCTGCCTGGAAGAAACTCTTTATCTTGCTCCTCAAAGCACTCGTTTAAAGGATCTATCACTTCATTGCCACTATAAAGTTGTTTTCTCAGCAAGTGTTCCTTTAACTGTAGAACACGTGGAAGGCGCTGGAAACTAGGTCTAGTGACTGTGGATTTACTCCAGGTTTTTTCAATCTACTTTTTCTTGAGATGTTTTCTCTTGTGAGTGACCTCAGGGATCTTTAACATCCAATGTAAATGAAGCAAACAGTGCGTCATATTATTCATGTTTATTACACACCACAGTAATAACCAGGGTGGCCGTTAGATTCGAACCATGAGCTTCTGCAACAAACTGGCGAATGCCCTACCGCTTGGCACTGCCCCTTTGTATATCGGTGTGTAAAGCAGAGCTGCGGTAACACGATTAGTGCTCTGCACTATGATCCCAGCAAGCCTGGCTTATTTCCAGGCAATGTACAGCAATGGCAGCTGTAACCAAACCTGAACTGAGTCACTAAGACCTTGACTCAGCTGAAAATAAAAGTCAAATTATTTTTTTACACTCGATTGTACAGAGGACAGTACCAGCCTATGTTAATAACTGCCAACCACAGTGGTGGGGATTCTAAATTCCTATGGCAGGGTCTAGTCACTCCAACAGGCAACGACTGTAAAATAAAATTGCTACATTGTGTAGTATGTCAACATCAGCACTGGGGAGATAAATGCTGCCGGATTTGCAGAGCACTTGCCCCATCACTCTCTGTGTATTGCATTGACCTTAATGGGTGCTTGCAAACAGTTCTTGCCTCAGTAGTTTATACGGCCATATCGGGTAGGGAAGGGTGGTGTGTTGGTGTCGCATTTAGAATGCTATATTATTGAAGATATTGTCAAATGTACAATTTATTATTTAAGAGTTTTACTTCTAGCTCCCAGATTGACAGACCGGTCGACATGACAGGCGACATGCAGTCCTATGAGGTGCCGCCTATTGTATACATTCATTACATGCTTAACCTTAGTGATGCAAGTCCTCTTGCCTTCCTCAAGAGTTAACTGTAAATAATGGTGTATTTATTTACATCATGTACAATTACTTATAAAAGCTTTAGACTTTGGAGAGAGTTAATTGAACGAGGGAAGCATGTGCCCTGTTATCATTTCAAGTCATTAAAATCTTTGTGGGCAAGGCTGTCATCATTCATGGTGGTCGGCAAACACCTATCGTGGACCGCATTGCAAGAGCTGCATTTGCCACCTGTGAATATGTCTAACCTGTGAATGTGTCTATCCTTCATTGGACCTCCTTTGCCAGTACCAAAATATAATAATAGGGTTTTTCCCCTTGTTTAAAAGGATTCATGTCTGCATTAACCACAATACGCCTTTTGGCGTCATCTGGTCTAGCACCATTTGAGACCAGGCTCTAAAGAAAGCTGTCTCTGGTGTGGACCAATCCGTTTCAAGGACAATGCATATATTATCAGTGTGGTTTTTTTTGTTTGCATTTTGACTGCAAGTATTGTGGTTAATGCAGACATGAATCCTTGTAAAAAAAGGTTTCAGTTTTGTTGCCAGAAAAAAGGAGAAAAACCCTATTATTGTGTCTCTCCTGTGAATGTGTCTATCCTGTGTCGATACAGGGTGTGGCGTCTGCAAGAGGATGAAGCCGGTGTTCCAGGAGGCAGCCACCATGGCCAAGAAGACATACGTGAGCTTCCAGACATCAGCGCAGTCTCACGTTGTCTATCGGTTAATTTTTTTCAGCTGCCCCCTTGGTGTAATGGTTATCACACTGCACTTGCAATCGAGAACAACAAAATAATAATTTGCCCCATTGTGGAGAATATAAATAGCGAAAGCAGATAATAATGTATCCTTCATGTATCTGTCTCTCCACATAAAATATAACAACATTTCTTACCCAACTTATTGGCCCAGCAGCATTCTGGGAGTGTAAACATTCTGCAGCATTGATTCAGTACAAGCAAACCTTGAGCCAGTTTTGACATACAGTGTCTCGTCAGAAGTCTCCCATCTCCTGGTGTGGTATTTGAAAAACTGGGCAAGTTTCTCAAATCCCACCACCGCTGTCCACCCCGCAGAGTAAATGGAGGGCTATTGGGGACTGGATAGCCACATTGAAGCACCAGTGCACCGTATGAACGTATGGCTCATGCCCACGTGATACATTTCAATTGTGGTTTATGGTTGGTACTGGCTGGCTGTAATGGGGATTGACCAACGGGACCACTAAGACTGCCACTGGGTCCTCCCAGACTAGCACTGGGACCACCAGCAATGACAGTAAAATCTCTGAGATCACTGGCACTTCCAATGGAACCATCGCAACTGACAAATGATTGGATGCTTACTACTTGCTCATTCATGTACACACACACACACGCAGGTGATCGCTCAGGTGTACGTGTAAACATTTCACCCATTGAAGAATCAATATTTACATCTTGACTTAAAGCTTTCGTGACTGCAGGAATTCATATTCTTTGGGTCTTTCGGTAAAGCCACGTAGATAGAAAAATAGTACAATTAATACAAATAATAACAATATCACGATGTTTCAACCGCAACACAAGCAATCGTCAGCAGGTAAAAAATATAGCGGGAGAGCTGCTGAGGCAGGAAAGCATATATGTGCCACAGCAGCTCTCCCACTATATTTTTCACCTGATGACGATTGCTTGTGTTGTGATCGAAACGTCGCGATATTGTTATAATTTTTATTAATTTTATTATTTTTCTATCTACGTGGCTTTACCGAAAGATCCAAATAATCAATATTTCCCAGAGGAATTATCCAGCGTGGATTCGTAAGAATTGAATATAATTCCTGCAGGAATAACCCAGCTTAATTGATGGTACTGGGAAAGACTACACTCTGGCATGTGATAATGCTGTGATGTGCATTGCAGGTTCTGGCTGGAATGAATGTACATCCAGCTGAGTTCGATGGGATTAAATCAGACTACAACGTGACTGGTTACCCCACCTTCTGCTACTTCGAGTGCGTACGCATCATAGGCATCCGTGCATGTTCCTCGCGCACACACACACACATATACGCATGCGGAGACGTCAAAGAGCGTCGCGATACAGGAAAGGCACAGCCTTTCGTATATGTACAAGTTTATAGAGCATGGAGAGATGCACGTTTGGAATTACTTGAGGGACTGAAAGAGGAATGTGGATTAGAGAACATATGCAGGTTAATAACATCATCTAAACTTTTAAGGAAAGTTAAGTGGGCTTGGGCAGGGCACACCCCTTGAATGGATGATGTTTAAGAGTAATGGCAACCAAGGTATTGAACGCATCTGAGAGGAAATCCACCAGAGAGATGGGTCGCTGAGATCAGTTCACGTGCACGTGCCGGATGAATCGCTGCGAGGTGACAGCTTGGGAAGGCATTCATCCAGCGGCAGATCGATGATGGCTGCTGCTGATGAGGATGATACTGAGAGGTAATGATGGCCAATGTTATTGATGTCATCACAGCTAACCATCGCTTCCTTCCTCCCGGCTGATCGTACAACTGCTGTGCAGTCACCCTCTAAGGTCCTGCTACTAGAGAATCGCATCATCTGCCTGTCCATCTTCCCCTTGGTTTCCAACCTTTGGGTGCCTCCACGTTGTTTGGTTTGGTAATGTTATCTTTTCCATCCTGCTCACGTCCCACCTATCAATGCTTCCTATTCTGGGATACGTCTGTAACGCTTTCCTCCTGCATTATTTTCCAAACGTCCACAAGTTGCTTACCCCAGCCTGCCCGAAGAGTTCCTCGCTTCCTTTCCACACAACTAGAATTTTCACACACTCACGTGTGTAGCTTGTGCTTAACAGTTTTCGAGTGGTGTGTAAAGTGCTTTTTACGCACGAACATAACTGTTAAAGACATGGCATTTGACAACCGTTTTAAACGCTTGTGTGCAAGTTCTACCCTTTTATAAGCGTTGTTTTATTAGGCTGTTAAAGCACTGCATATTTCAGTTTTATTGTCGAGCGTTCAAGTTGACCAACTGCTTGAACGCGTTTAAAAAGTCAGAGGCTGAGCGTTCCATGAGGCCGATTTGCAATGTGCTTGCCAAGCCACGTGTTTTTTTTGTTTATTTATATCCTGTAAAAAAATGTTTAAATGTTACTGGTAAGATGCTACATATGTTAGACCATTGTCTAAAGACCTTTGCAAAATGTGTATGAACGCTTCGAAAAATGAAGATAGTTCCTCGCTGTGTAATTACTATTTTTACTCTATAGCTGGAAAATTTAAGTCGTCAGAGCTAGAATTTTCATTGCGTAGGTTGGAAATCGAGAAAATTTGAAATCAACGTGACAAGTAGTTACGCAAGCAACGTTAACAGCGTGGGTCAGGTGTCAAAATAGAATGGGTGAGGTGGATGAGACTTGTTAATCCTGATTAATAATGACAAAGGTAGCTAAAACAATGACGGCAGCCCCCCTCATTACTGAAGGGACTGTAATTGTTGAATCGGTGTGGTTTCATCCACATTGAGAACTGTAGGTACGTATGTCGAACTTACTTTCACACCGTACGTAGCCAACTGTGCTCATTGGAGGTGCTGGTATTTGACTGATTGAGGGCAGGTAATGCAACAGTTATATTTCCAGCACTGAAATACTGCCATAACTCTGGACTGACTTTCAGTTTTTAACCATATTTACAAGCTCTCCGGGTCTTTCGGTAAAGTCACGTAGATAGAAAAATAATAAAATGATGAAATGTTGGTAAACATTACCGTACAATCAACTGCGTTCCTTTAGATATTCCTTTTTGTTCGTATCCCTAACACATCCAAACATTGGCAATTCAAGACAAGCACCATGCAATGTCAATCATATGAGAACTGCCCTATTAGAAATAATTGAATGACTAGGTTTAGAGCTTGTTCTATGGAGAGACTGGCCACCCCCATAGAAATGTGGATTTGCAAACCTCTGGCTCGGTGGGACCACCAACCAAGACGATGGCCTCCTTGCTGTATCAGGCATTGGGCGTGTGTACTCGTCTCTTGGTGATCCAGAGCCATTGGTATAAATTCCACATCTCTGTGCGCAACTATTGACTCCCCGCAAAGTGGTACGATTTTATATCGACCACGGAAGGATTAGTGAACCCCCAAGTGGAATTTGAAAACTCCACAAAAAGACTGTGAGCCGAGTTTTTTTTTTCTAACCACAGCACCACCACATTGGAAATATCATTCCGGTTAATATACTATTTTTTTTATCAATGTTTGAAGAAATATTGTTTTACATTTCGGGGTTTTTTTTACCTGTAGTCTTTGCCAATGGGCTGAGACCATCAAACTTGCTGTATTTGAAAGCCAAGAATACAACAACAGTTTATTTATTTGTTCATTACCCGTGCATTTCCGGTCACTTGTGCTCACCCCATACTCTAGAACTCCCTTGAGCCCGGTCATTCGTGCCCCTAACATCCTACCATCTAAATCGTTCCATTTTTGAAACTGCGTTAAGTACCTTGAGTGAAGGGGCGCTCTATAAATATAAAATTAGATTAGGTGTGGGCCCAAGACCTTCTATTTTTCCCCTCTGTGTATGACTGAATGGTCCTCTCTGTAAAAATAAATGTGCCCACCGGTACTGTATAGCGTTTTAAGATGCGGTCACATTTTAGATGCTATATGAATCCAAATTGCATTGTATTTTTAGGATGGTTGAAATGCAGGATTGAACCCTGCATGGATTCCAGTGGTGCAGCTCATTGATCTATGATCTGTTACAGCCGTTATGAGCTCCCTGAGCCACTGAGGTCTGACTAATTGTTCAGCGCAGTGCCACCCCAGATTTGGCACTGAAGTCGCGACCAAACTGAATTGCAACCATGCCGTTTGGCTGAGTTGTGCTTCGGGTACGAGGCACCTGCTTGATGGGAGGGCGATTTCAGTGACCGCAATGCGTGTCTGGCGATCTTTGAGGCCTGCAACTATGACAGTGTTTCTAGAAATAAAGCGCGGATGAGCAGGCATCTCACATTCCCATTTGAAGGGTGCATTGACCTTCATAGTCTTGCATTGTTTTATTGTTGACTTATTTTTTTTTTGCAAATATAGCCTCACTGCCAGAGCACTCGATGCATAATGTGAGTTAAAATTTCAGTTGAGTATCGATTCAGCCCGTTATCCCTTCAGGGTTGATTAAGTAATTCCTGCTTCATGGAGAATTCCACAATGGTGGCTCCTGCCATAGGAATGTGGAATTTTCTACCACTGACAGCCACTGCACCCCGTGCTAATCAGAATGTAAGCAGAGACAATTGGACTTTTTTCACTCAATATAATAGGGCATGCACAAGGGTATGTAGGTACTGTATGTGTATGTATGCATGCCTATATAAATTACGGAGATATTTACATTTGATCTTGCGTGCAAAAAGGCAACCGTTTAAATCGCGTTTGCTGTCCCTGTTTTTTGTGCACAGACGTCTCTACATCGAGTGCCAATCTCCCGCTTGTTTTTATTTTGCAATGCAGGCAAAACTTGTATGCGGTACTCATTTCTAAAGTTTTTTGTTTTGCCATTTGCTCTTGTTTCTTCCAGGAAAGGAAAATTCCGATTCAACTACCAAAGTTACGGAGCTCAGGCCAAAGATATTGTTGAATGGCTAAAAAAGTAAGTTCAATATATAGTGCCTCATGTGGTTTATATTTGTATTTGGAGTTGCAAAAAATAAAACTTATTTCGACTGCTGTAGCATATTTCTTTATACCATTTCATCGTTATAAATAAAAGCCATTTCCAGTCGAATTTGACTATACCAACGCTGCGGAATGTTTTTGAACTATGAAAGGTTAGTCTTTGATGCCAAATCTAGTTGCTTGGAAAACCTGCAGCATTTTTGCACGTGTACGCACGTGTGTCGCAGCAATGGGGAGACTAAGGCAAGCAATTCTACGGGCACTGTAGCGTGCGAGACTAATCGGAGGATCTTTGCGCGTCTGCGCGTACACGCGCTTGTGCACGTGTACACCCCCCTACAGCCCTGAATCGCCCAAGCCCACTGTTCCCGAGGTGGCATGGAGTGAGACGGACTCTGCAGTGTTTCATCTGACGGACGAAGACTTCCAGGATTTTGTGGACAAGCACCCCAATGTTTTGGTGATGTTCTACGCCCCCTGTAAGTCACCCGTAGCAATCACAGTACAGAATAATTCTTGTTTTACTCCGTGTAACACTAACTGTGCTGACCAGTCACGCTGTGGCATTATTCGATGGTGACTTTAAAGTGATGTCACCGTACTTTGAGTGCTTGACTTACAATGGGAAGGACAGCGAGTTCAAATCCTGGTCCGGAGTCAACCCTCCTGGGTTGATAACACGAGTTCCACTTTGGTAGGGAATCAACGGTGTTTTTTCTTGTATAAAGGATGTGACCCCATTCTATACAAACAAAATCCGTCTACACTGTTTGGTTATTCAAACACCCAACACTTACTGCCTTAAAGTGCAAACGATAATGAGAAGCAAGACAGAACAATAGAGATGCACTCTTCCGGCAAAGCGTGAAGTAAAACATAATTGAGCTTATCAGGCCAATTTGATGTTTGTTTTTTTTGTCCCATTATCCACTTGGGGTTGCGGAACAAATTCCCGTTGGCAAATGTCACAGCCAACAGTGTAACATCACAATGAGCCTGAGGGTATTTCATGGAAGATGACGTCACGGAACTACTATTAAATGTCTTCAATAATCCTCTTATCTACATTAGGCAGCACACCTGCAATGAGTGTTTGTTGAATGGCAGCCTGACCAAAAATTGGTAATCCTCAGAGCTGGACGATGCCAAATTGATGGCCAAAACAAATTTAATGTGCCGGTTGTTTTGTGCATTTGTTTTTTTGGTTTATTCCTAATGCTGCTGGCCGTCTAATCCTAACTGGACGATGTGCAACGTAGGGTGCGGGCACTGCAAAAAGCTGAAGCCAGACTACGACGAGGCTGCCAAGATTCTCAACAACGAAGAGGAAAACGTGAGGATGTTAATTCTGCAATGCAGTGTCTCTTCTGCGCTAAACAAGAAAGTAAAAAAATAAGTATTAAAGAATTACGCGAGTGAATGGCGAATGAATGAATGCGCGGCTGCTTCTGTTTGAATGTAGAGCGCCATGGAAGTGCCACTTGATGTGCTGCTTTGTGTAGGATTTGCACAAATGTTAAGGAACTGAAATGACCGGTGCATGATCATCCATAGCCATAATCGTCACGCCTTGCAACAGAAACATATGTAATAGGCTATCGCAGCAGTCAAAAGGGCCTTCTGCATAGCAGATTGAGAGATGACAGAGAGATCGATTTGGAGCTGAAAATGATACTGTACACTGGGGCCCAAAGAAAACTGCGAAGATTTTAAGAGAGTTTATAAATGGACATGTTTTAACAGACATACAGTTGGCCTCTTGACCTTCACTTGACACCATTGAGTTTAACGCGAACCGTAGCTACTGGATGACTTTTCTTGAGGCCACAGAGCAAATGGAAAATAGCAGTAAAGCTTCTTTACAGTGCCCTCTAGTGGATCGGAAGCCGCAAACCTCACTGTGCCATTCACAAGCTTCAAGCAGTCACTTAAATTGCATGGATGTCAGAAAAAAGGCTCGTTCATTATGCAGCTCACGTGTTTCGATGACCATAAGATACATGTGTAAGCACTGCAGATAATTTCACATGCATATAGCTGTGTGTTCGCAAAGTGCCATGGGTATGCCATCATGGTATAATCCCAGCAACTTGGGTTTGATTCCCAGCTGGGATGAACTTTATCCGTTGCACATGATCAGGTGTTTTTAAACCTGTCCTGGTCGGGAACTGGTGCAGTGTATGTACTACGTATGGTGCGAAAGAAGTTCAACATACATCAGCACTGGGGAGACATTGGTGGTCCAGTGTAGTGCTACTTTGCCAACCTGAATAAGTGCACTCAGTAATAGAATTTGTACCTACAGTTTGTAAGTCTGAAGAGGGCATTCGTGTATTCATTGTGTGTGTCTTTGCCTTTGCTTGCGTGTCAAAGTGGGGAGTGGTAGGCTGCGCTGTAAACTCGGTGACCCGAGTTCGTGTACTGCTTATGCCCAACACCGGTGACGATTATTTAAGCAGATCCTGGGCCTCCCCGAGGTCGACTCAGCCTCAAATAAGTACAGTACCTGGTGCGATGTTTAAACATCACCACTAGAGACACAAAGGTGCCCTGGCGTGGTGCTAGCCACCCACCCCCTCGTGTGCCGTGCCGGCCTTCCTAGGTGCTCGCTAACCGAACTTGCCCCAACAGTCTGTTAAGGCTATACGGGGGATCTATGCCTTGTTTGTCACAGAGCCCTGGGGTTTTGGCAGCTGTTGATGCCACCATACACCGAGCCCTCGCCGAGCGCTTCGCCATCAAGGGCTTCCCCACGATGAAGTTCTTCCAGGACGGGGAGGAGAAATACACGGTGTCTGACCTGCGATCCAAGGACAAGATCCTCTCCTGGATTCGCGAGTGTGTATGCCACTGATGAATCACAGTACCTTGCTGATCTTGTCAAGAAGCATAAACCGTAATGCGATCTCCGATCATCCTCGCAGCGGCTTTTGGCTAGCCGTCGAACAAAGGCAGTCACCACTGGAGCTATGCACTTTTAAAATCTAGATTGAAAACTAATTTCTTGAGAACTGCTTTTTATATTTAGTTTGTTGTCCTTCCCCGCACTTCTGATTGGGACGATTGTCTTCGTATGGTGCGAAATAAGTTCAACATACATACGTACGTACTGACAGGCACCTTCCATGTATGCGTCATGTGTGCGTTTGACAATAACTTATGAGAACATGCTTAAAATAGGTGAAAAGTCAAAAGAGTTCCACTACACAAACGGGTGTCATGCAACGCTTGTCTGTGTTAGTGGCCCTGGGTCCTCATTACTACGGTAGAGGGGAGTCTCTTCACAGGAAATTCCATGGTTTACTACACAACATACGCTACTGCATGTTTCTATATCATCTATATCAACCCCAGAGGAAATATATACCAACTTAAATTTGAACCCACGACTTTTACACAGTGAGTCATGTGCTCTCACCACAGTGTCGCCTGGGCAGATGAAGGCATTTGTTCGTCTAAATTAAGCCAAATCAATTAAATATTAAGATGTATGGATAGCGGTATATACGCATATACACATATAAATCATTGCCTCTATTGCTCACACTGCCTTTTAATTAAAACAAACACCGTTGGTTAATGTTTTAGTCAATACTTTTCTTCACAGCAGCAGAGAGAGAGAGGGCAGCCAGGTTTACCGACTTCTAGTTAGATACACACAACATTGACCTTCACCATTTTAAATTGACACAAACAGTTTTTCCCTTAGATAAACATTTTCTTTTTAAACGTTGCATAGCTGAGGTCAGGAGATAACATCACTTGTTTTTTGAGTAGCACCTTATAATCACCATTATCAAGTTAGGCCCTTTGTTTAATTTCGTCTATGCGAGACAACACCTGCAGACCATTTCAAAACGGATCACTGCGGGCCCGGCGCGTGTCTCGCCTTATAACGAGCTGCGGCGGTTTGTTTCCGTGCCCGCCGGCAGCCCCCAGCCGCCACCCCCTCCAGAGGTGCCGTGGGATGAGCAGGAGAACGACGTGGCTCACCTCTCGGTCGCCACCTTCCGCGAGTTCCTCAAGAAGAAGCGTCACGCCCTGCTCATGTTCTACGCCCCCTGTGAGTCGCTCCTCCGTCTGGCGGGGACACCGCGTAGCCGGCGCTGCCGTCGCCACGCAGCGCTGCGCTGTCGTTGCCGCGGTGCTGCGCGACGCGGCCGCCGCATCGCGTGCCGAATCGTAGCGCCACAGCCAAATGTCTCCTTTGCTCAAGCTCAGAAAATTTGGTGATACCGAACGCCGATTGGTTGGCCCTGAATCAGTGATGCAGATTCCATTTTCTCATGACGAGGGTCGGTCTCTGCATCGGTGGTTTATGTACGTTGTATACATTCCAGCCTCTTCATATTGCTATGCAACGTCTTCAATTCATGCATATTTGTAATAACGTTGAATAGTAACAATCCAAATAGTGCCTTCCTCTCGCTCATAGCTTTATATATTGAAATTGACGTATCAAAATCCTGCCTTCGTTTTATTTTCTGAGAAACAAATGTATAGTTGGGTCATTCTTGAAACTGGCTGTGCTGTGGTCGTTTATCAATGAGGCTTTAAGAATCTTGGAAGATGTCATTCTGGATCCAGGCCTTGAATTACCACTGGACTCTGTTTCCCAGGGTGTTTCCACTGCAAACAGGCCAAGCCGCACTTCACTGCTGCAGCAGCACAACTCAGAGAGGACCACAAGGTACGTGTTTGCCATGGCAACTTCCTTTCTGTTGATTCAGTTTTACCGTTAGCTTCTCATTCTTTGTAATCACTAAGCACAGAAAAGGGGCATATAAACTGTGTAACCGGAGCCACCCTTAAGCTCTGTGGATGAGTGAATGGGTCACTTTACGCGTCTCTGCTTTATAAACCTTGATCGGGCAAAGTCAAATAAGTTGTAAAATGCTACTTTGTCTTTTGATTATCAGTTCACTTGACTGAGATCATACCATTGACTAATTGAGCTTCTCGCTTAATTTTGAGCAGCTGCTTCATATATGAACCTAAATGATCAACAAGGCTAGCTGAGTTGTCTCGTGATATACAAAGCCATTATCATGCTCACTGGTGTTAGGCACCCAAGTTTAATCCAGGTTCTCAAGGGTAGTCGTTTGTATCACTTACCTGTCACCCCTTATCAGTGCCTACCTTATTACAGAACAATTCAGACCTTATTGGTCCCCCCGTGCCCTTATAAATCTCAACATTAATCCTACAAAGCCCGTATTGAAACGGCTGGACCCTGTATGGACCTGAAAACTCAATGTCCCAGTACAAGAATACAGGTTAAACAAACCGTTTGGGTTGAGAGGTATGGTATCATATGCTTCTCGCAATCATAGAGTTGTGAGTTCATCTTCCAATCTGGGCTTATAATCCTGATCTGTGAGATCATCAGTGGTTGTACTATCCAGTAACTAGTCCCCTGCGATGGAACTGTGGAATTTCCACCACTGTCTCAGGGCCACAAATGATGATGAGCAATAACTTATTGCTCATCAGGGGGAGATACTGTCTGGTTAACAACCCGATTTTGTCAAAAAGCCAGCGTGCAGATTGCGATTGTATTTTTATCACTTGTCGACACTTTGTGCTTTCGGTGGCCCCAAAGGCAGTGGTGGAAATCCCACATCCCTGAAGCGCTGTTTCAAGTTTGTTTAGCTGAACCAGATGAAAACTCAAGAGACCAGGTTGAGTCTCATTTTCACGAGTGACCTGTGTCACCAAGACGACAAAAGTAAACAAAGTATAGAAAATGGAGCATATAGAAAGCGGAGCAAATTAAACCGTGGCACATGAAACGGTGTTTTAAAGTCCATGCAGTACGAGTCGGCTTGGCCAGATTATGTTTTGACGGATCATATTACAATTACAATACATATTCTTGGGTCTTTCGGTAAAGTCACGTAGATATGTTCAAAGAAAATAACCAAAAATAACAAAACAACTACGACGTTTTTCGATCGCAACACAAGCGATCGTCTTCCTGAAGATCGAAACGTCGTAGTTTTTTTTGTTATTTTTGGTTATTTTCTTTGAACCTATCTACGTGACTTTACCAAAAGATCCAAGAATATGAATTCCTGCAGTCACGAAAGCTTTAAGTCAAGAATTACATTACAATTTAATTTACCGAAACATGAAACAGATGTCGGGTGACTATTGTACAAATCTGTCAACAGACACACACAGCGTGCTTCAAAAATATTTTAACAGTTATATGGGACTATTGTTTTTGACGGAAAAAGAACGGAAAATATACTGTAACATGATAACAAATTAATGTTAATAGCTTCAAAAAGTCAGTCTCCACTTCATAATAACTTGTTCGCCATCGTTGTCAACACGTGCCTAGAATTTTCTCCAGGTGGTCTCCAGAGCCTGGAGGCACATTTCTTGCGGTGTTGTTGCACATTCTCAGAAATGTGAACATTTCTTTGAAGCACCCTGTATTTGTTTACCAGGTGGCCCTGGCAGCTGTGGACTGCACAAAGCAGGACAATAACGAACTGTGCAGCCAAGAGGGCGTGAGGGGCTACCCCACCATGAACCACTACACATACGGGAAGTTTGTGGGGCCATACACCGGGGGGAGACAGGTGAGCGGGGGCTCGCAGGGCTGCCTGTACACTAAGCCGTCCGCGTGCCAGTTCTCTACGGCCACCGCTCCTTCATCGGCGCGACGTGTCTCCTGCTGCTGTCTCTGCTGCCACAACTGGCACGGCTTGCTTGCACGCTTTGTGCCCGTCGTGATTTATGGGGACCGCACATGGCCTGGCTGTGACCGCCTTTTGTTTGCTTCGCATGCAGCGGCAACACGTTGAGCTTGTTGCTGCTCTTGGTCGGCTCTACGCTGGAACTCCCTCATGTCTTTGTTTCCAACTTTTCTTTTTTATTTGAAAATGCAAGAAGCTTCTCTCGCCTCAACTGTTATCCATATTCTAGCTCTTGTGTTGCGTTTAGATGATTTGGCTGCTATACATTTTCACATGATGAGCTACTTCGTTGAGCTATCACATGTGGCCAGGTAGCTTCTGAAAATAACTTTATAGCTCAGTGGGCCTTACCTGGTAAAATAAAGAATACTTTAGTTCATAGTTTATTTGACACAGTGTTAGACCGCGTAAATGTAAAAATGTGTCGTTAAACCCGCCACACACAGCCAATTAGTAAGGTTTGTCATGTCAACAGAACATGCCAAATGCGTTTAACGACACATATTTACGCGATCTAACCCAAAAAAAACCTGTTATGGATGATATTGGTTGCGAAAGCCTACATGTTAAACATTATTAATTCAGTTTTCAATTCAACTTAATTTTTAAAAACGCAACAGTGCCATTTATTTTATCCAGGAAAGCCTTCCCTGGTTCTCAACGTTATCCAGATTGATTGTTTCCTTGATTGAGTGTTTATTTGGCTTGAGGCAAACTCTGCACAGACAGATAAAATAATCAATTGTACTGACAATCTATCTACCTCACAGCTCAAGCCTGTAACGCATGAGTCGCCCAGACTGTCTGCCATCTTAAGTAATAAACATGTTTAAATCTCCTCAGATGTTGACATCTGTCTGCCAGGTGCGTTGCGGGTGATTTTAGTCAGTACATCCAAATGAAGACAAACTGTGCATCTGTGAAAAATACTTTCATATAGCTCATCGGATTCCTCCTGTCTAAATAAAGGTTTTGATCAAATTTAGAGTGTTGAGAAATGTTGTATTTTTACACGGCAGTGCATTTTGAACGACCACATATTTTGTACTTATTGGAATTTTGAATTCAATGATGACTGCTTTGTGGGAAGGTAGTATTGGTTGTACAACAGAGGTACTGGCCCCCACCACAAGAATGTGGGATTTTCATCACTGCCTTTGGGGCCACCGAGAGAGATGAACACTGCCCCACGCTCGTTTGACCAGCGAGACAGACAGCGTTGACATCTTGAGTTAAAACTGAAATGCCTTTTGACCAGTGCACACCCATGGCGGTATTGCAATACATGTGTCACATTGTAACCCGATGTCTGATTTGATTCTCTCGTCTCTCCTTGCAGGAGGCTGACTTTATCAACTTCCTCCTCTCGCTGCGGGGAAAGTCACATTCCGAACTCTGAAAGATTTGCTCCTGGGTCCCTCCCAGCTCCCTTACACCTCCCACCTGCGCTCCTCCGCCTTCTGTTCCACACCCACCCTGACCGCAACTAACCCTCGACATCAACCCACCCTTAAGCCCTGGCAACACGAGGCTACTTTATTCAGGATTAGCGTCTTGACTGCTTCTGACAAAAAAATGGGTTTTCGCCTGCTGACTTGGCGTCCGATGGTAAAAGCAGTCTTGTTGGTACTTGAAGGTCGCTTCAGAGACAATGTGAAAAGCCTAACCTGCTTATCAAGGTATTGACCTCCTACATCAAGGCTATGTATCATTCAGTCATTAAATCAAGTTCAGTCAGCCCTTCATTTAATCATGTGCGAGCCCATTGAGATACCATATTAATGTATATATGCAACATCTTATCTGTTGACCATTAAAACATGTGAAGACATTTCAAGTCATGTGACAGTAGGGTAAGAGGCAAAAAAAATCATACTCATGCATATGTGTGAAAAGCAAAGACATAACTGAGGAACACTTTTCCTATCATTGGTGTATTGATTAATGACAATTAACCTTGGCTCTCGTGTCTTGCACGTTTAATCGTGTTTCTGCTACGCACAATTTTCTGATGCTGCACATACTTATAACCAGCGATACACGATGCGTTTTCGTGTTGTGCCGAGTGTTGTTGTTTCGGGACGATGTCCGACGTTTCGCTGCACACTCTTGGAGCTTCTTCAGGAACCGATGTCGGCCAACGTCAGACATTGTGCCGAGCAACACGCGGTACAATCCCAAAGCACAACAGAGAGTCGTACAGCGCGACCGCAAAACCTACGCAGCGGCGACAAGTGGACTCTTATGAGATACAACAATTACTCGCCTGTGGGTCCCAACTGGGGTTTTTTTTACAGCCAGATGGCATGAGGTTGTTTTAATTCACCGTTGTCAGAGGGTTTATACGAAATAAACATTCTCTCCAGTTAACGATGATGATGATGATGATACCCTAACAGCTGAGAAAATAACGTGTACCAGCTGCTACAGAATGTAAATCATTGCTCGTTGGGCTGCGGCACATGAACAAACGTGTACTTTGGCGAGGCTTCCAAAATGTGGTCGGTGTTTATCACGCGCACCCTGAAATCATGTCCATTGCGAGCATTCTTCCAAAGGCGGGAGTGGGATTAACCTGTGCCCGGATTAACAACCTAGACATCGATTTGGAGTTGCTACTCAAAATTGAGATCCATACGAAAGAAGGGAGTCTTTACCATGGGACTTATTGCTGGGGAGTGATGCCTCGCAAGTGACGTGTTCCTGTCGCCATCTAGCTATCTCATTGAACCATTGTCAGAATGTAAACAATGTATCTTGCACTGCTTGATTACTTTTTTACACGATTACCGTTAAATATTCAAAGTTTCTTCCAAGACCGAATGGCAGGAGGAGGAAATGATGGCTTGTCAGCAGCTTGGATTAATGCGAGGAGGACAGCAGCAGACGAAGCTGACGTAGGTCACGCAACAAACGTCGGACAACCCGAGAATGCATCGTAAATCTATACAGCACAACCACGGAAAAGCCTACGTAGTATTGCTTGCCACAGAAATATACGCTGGCATTTGCGCAATAGGTAAAATTCATCGCGTAGTGTTGTTATTGCTTCGGATAAACCAGCCTAAAATTACTTTGATCAAGTTAGGATAAATCACGTGGAAAGCAAGGATTGTGATGCTTTCCGACATGCGGTTTTCAATGTCTTGGTGCTGGCCCCCTATTAAGGGACAGATGGACAGAGCTAATTCCGTAAACACTTTCAACCTAAGTTGGAAAGCTCTAAAAAGTAATACATTTCGAGTAAGTTACTTTGAAAATTACACGTGAATTTCTGTTACTTTGTATGTAAAATCTTAAGTAGTCCGAAGCGGATTACTTTTTTAAAAGTAACCTTGCAGCAATGGATAATTGTAAAAGTTTGCACCCTCAACGTATCAAAGAGAAAATTACACCTCTTGTTTTTCAATGACTCGTATTCACATTGCAACTCCAGCACACTTCTGCAAACCATAATAATTCTTTATTTCAATTTGTTTACTTGTCACAGTGTACCTTTGCACTATTTACAATCACCGCGGTTTAAATAAGGTTTACTGTACAATATTGTTGCCGTAATAGGTGCAATTTTTTTGATTAAAAATGTTTCGTTCGTAAATCAACATCTTACTATAACTAAAACACTTGTAAATGACATGATGTAGTGCTTACCATTGCGTGTGTTCTCTTTCTGAGCATATTCACTTGCTTTACAGTAAGATTTGGGTTACGAATAGGATGCATTGTTGAGGATAATGACGGTGAGTGACCTACGTGGGTCAAGGTTAGTCTTGTATCGAGAAAGCATCTTGGTGCTTGGACATAGTTCGTGTGGGTGTGGATGATTCCATTCGTTGTCTTCTAATCAGGTCAGAGTCCAGGTTCGTTTTCTTATTTACAAGTCAATGTCAAGTAAAACCTGTCCCCCTGCTCAACGGAATTGGAGCTGGTGGTGGAAATTCAACATTCGCATGGTGAGGCCCAGTCTAAAAAGTGGCCAAATTGTGGTGTCTAAGAGGTTGCCGGCCACAGATCCCCATCTGTTCCTGCCCTCATTTATGAAGCATTCTTCTGTCTTGAGAAACCCATCCCTTGTGATAAATCTCCTTTTCTTTTCACCCTCTTTCCCTTCCCTCTCTCTGCTGCGAGAAGGTTGTTTCTGCAGACTTATGCGCTGAACAACTTGCTGTATCTGATAGCCATAAACACGCCCATTCCCAGAACCTATACATTTATTTTCCTCTTGATCCAGAAAAACTCGCAACATTCTTGTCAACTGCCACATTTAGAACTCATCTGACCCAAGCGTGCTCAATCCTATAAAGGAGACGTGTGTAGAGCCAAAACAGTCCGTTCTCGGCGGTACCTTGTTTTTAATGCTTTACTCACAGTCGCAAGATTTTGGAGTAACCCGTTTCCATTCCGATGACGTATGTGTACGTCTTCAGTTCTTCCGATTCTGATCCAATGACGTACACGTACGTTATCAGAGCAGAATCGGAAGAGGGCCATGCGCGAGGGCGTGGCACAGTTTGGCGCCAGCTATTATAGTGCGGTCGTGTTGCTACATTTCTCTACGGTGAGTACAATATCTTTAAAAATAACAGCGATGTGCCTCTAAATAAAATCAACACTAACCGCTTGCGCGTTTAGAGATTCAGTGATGAATTAGCGGACGTCTCGGAACGGGAAAGGGTTAATGCCGGTCTGCACGTTTCAGCCCACGATCTGTCCAATCATGAGTTGATGTAAAGTTGGAATGAACAACTCGGCTGCAGGTGGAGAAGAACACTGTCATGCTCAATTAGAGCAGGGAGATGTTTTTAACTGGTGTTTTTTTTAATGAAAAGAGCAAAATATAAACAGCCGGTTTATCCACAAGGTTATTATAACTCGAGGAACTGGCCAGACGTTCCAAGCAGGAGCCTCCTGGAATATTCTTGACGCTCGGCGAGTTGTGTTTCAGGGTGATTATTTTCTAATTGCCTTGCGCAATGTTCTCGAACAGTTGAATTGACTGTCTTAGTTTCATGGAGTATAAATCGCATACTCAATAATTTTGGTTGTGTCCTATAGGGTGTGAGTTAGTCCATTAGAATGGGTTACACATTTGTGTTTTAGGGACGACTTTTTTTAGCTTCACTCGCAAAGTATTTGTATTGTGGTGGCGAAGCCATACTTCCGGTGGTGATGGTGATGATTGGTGTCGATGGACCACGTGGCTTACTTGTAGACATCACTTTCGTGATGTTAATCAAGGGTAAAACAAAAACATGTTTATATAAATTGAAAGCCCTAAGCCTGCATGGTGAAACTACCTCAATGAGATCTACACTCAATGGTGAGGTGTCTGGGTGGTTCGGCTCTAATATTGTGTTAAAGGACTGCCAGCAATGATGAGAATCCTGGGTTACAATCTGGGGCTTCAGCCACCCTGGAATAAACCGGATGCTCATGTGTGGTTAGTTCATGGTTTCAGTTTGGTCACCAATGACTGCACAAAAATTTATCATAAAAAGGTATTTGTCCCGAAACTCGGCATAATCCAGGTGTGTTAAATAAACATTTTGGTATGATTTTGACGTGATGAACACTTTTTCAGGGCAGTGTTTTTCAAGAGGTGTATTCACGTGATTTCAGAAGTTATTCTGTATTGTCATCTAGTGGAGACCATTCCCTGCATAATGTGATGTTACATTTTTCACAAAAAGTCCCACCGGAAAAATCTTAATTTCAAGGCATGACACCTGTGGCACAATTGCTATGCAATGCTGACATGCATTTTTTTATTGTAATTAGTCAGCTAATGCGTTTTAATTTAGAATACAGTAATTAAAAAGCAAGCTTAGCTGTTACTATTGACATCAAATGAGGATACATGTCACGAAGCCAGATGGTTAATGTTTACCATTCTTCTTTTGGTGGGCATGGGGTAGGCATTTAATTTGTGGCTTCATGCCCTTGGGATTGTCAATATTTCCACATGTTCTCGACACTGCCCTTGCTATTACATTTCCTGTATAAATAAAGTGAAAAGTGTCTTGCCTGCTCAAACAAACCTTGGGGCAACATGTATCTACGTTGTCCTCCTGAGCCGCTGCTGGAATTCCAAATTCCTATGGCAACAGGCTGGTTTATCCCTAGGATGAGCACTGTTGGGAATGTCATGCCAAGCCTTACATTGTTCTCCACAAGCATTGCTGCCAAAAAGCTTCCGCTAATCTTCCATTGGCCAGGTTATCTTTCTTATACATTGGGTGTTTGCTTCGCGTGAATACTTATGTTGATGAAGTGTTGTGGTCTTGTCTTCACGTGGTGTCTATATATTATACATCCACACATTCGTTGCACTTCATCCAATTCGCTTTGTCCATATGTTCGCTGTGCCATATACATTTTGCCTACTGTTACAACCTTTTGGGGACACTTTTCATCGTTGCTAAGTCCCTGCTATGAGAATATGGTACGTCTTACAAATGTGGGGGGTGTATTAGTAACCCAGCCGGGTGGCGCTGTGGTCATAGCACGTGACTCAATTTAGAAGTTTGAATTTTCAAATTCTAGAGATCTCATCCCGGTTGGGGAGAATAATTCAGTCCAGCATCCCTCGAGATTGAATACAATTAGTACCTCTTTGTGAGAAGTCCACAGTCGTTGACCTTTTCAGAGACCGACCCTCAGCTTGGGAATGTGGAATTACAACACTGACTCGGTGTCGTAAATGCAGATGAAAGATGTTTTGTAAAATAATACGTCAAGTGCTTATAACGTCCATCCGTTTCACAATGCATGTGAACAGTTATAAGTGCCACATTTTTTTTCTTTAAAAAGCATTTTGTAATTAAACCATCCAGATTAAACGTGCCTCCTAAGCAGTGGGGGGGTGTTCATTGTCTTCAGTGGCCCTGACCTGATTGTTCGAATGTTCCTAGAGTGGGGTCCACTGCATTCAAATGTATAAAATACTGCTGTCCAAATTCATGCTGGTTTTAGTCACCTCTGAGGGATGATGGGCTGTTTCAATATCTGAATTAAGCCATAGTCTTACAAAAAATAGTTTCCATTTGTTGGTACGGTAGTATTTAAAAAATAATCCAATATATGACGAAAGACCTCAAATTAAAATACGTAGTTTAGCAATCGTGTCCTGAATTTCAGATTGAGAATTGTTTAAATGTTTGTTCCTTGATACATCATAACCTGAACATTTACATGTACATTTATGGGAAGAAACTAAATCAATATTTATCCCTGCTGCAATTCTAAATGAATCTTAATTGCTAATTATGTTTTTGTTTCCACAATGATCATTTACTCTCAATACACCAAGCAAACTTGCACATTAAAATCAATCCGACAAATTGGACTTGCCAGAATGTTTGCAAGGCGTGACGGACATAATCACAGCTCCATTATCCAGGAGAGTCAATTACAACACAAGGGAATTGGCCTTCTGAAACATTGCACGGTTAAGTTTATGAATTTCACATTGGTGCATGTACGGCTGCTTTGTGTGAATGTGTTTAAATATATGCAAATACCACCCTTGATAAAAAGAGGCTTATAAATAACAGCGTAATATAGAAGATTTTAAGACCAATGCTTGTATATGGCAAGCGTATTGAACAGATTTGTGCTTTTGCTTGAAATTCCACATTTGATTTTGGATCTGTTTCTGATGTTAATCTCCTGTGTATGGGGAGTGTTGGCAAAAAAAATGGTTTGTGCTGTGCTATATGATCTTGGAAACATGGGCTCAATATCTGACTCAGTACACACATGGTGAGGGTTATCTCAAACTATATTTAACCTTCACCCAGGTCAACTCAGCCTTAAATGAATGTCTGGTGTGGTGTATATACATGAGCATTGGGGAGACATGCAACTGGCCCTCTTTCACTTGCTATTCCCTCATATGGTGTGATGGTTTAGTAGGTGTTTGCTCATGGAAACTCTTTGTCATTGTATGTTTGTGTTTAAATATATTCAGCTAACACCCTGCAAAGAGACTTACAAAGCCACGTAGAGAAATAGGGGCTTTCACTATCACTGCTTTTATATGCCAGTGTTGAACAAATGTATGCCTTTGTTTAAAATTCCACCTTTTCGACCTCTGAGCGGATTTCGGTAATGCGTGTACGCATGTGCGTTTGTGAATTTGAATGCAAAATGAAGCAAAGCAGCTTTAGTGGTTTTTTTGTAAGAGAACAAATTCGGACGATATTTTTGTAATCGGAACGTTGTCTCGTATCAACGGTGTTTACAGTTGAAATTACTGAAGCACTCATCCCCGAACACTGCAAAGACATGACCTTCGTGTCTTGACTTAATCTGAGAAAGGCACTGCTTTGTTGATATTGATGGATGTTGTATAGATGATTTTAACAAAACAATATGATGCAAACCACTTCAATAAAGGCCATGGGACAAAATCGGACTCATCTACTTTTGTAAAGGGTTTTTATTTCAGTCCCTTTACGTCACATTAAGTTCCCAATTTGCGTGAATGTATTTCAAATAAATTGTAATATTCAGGGAAACTGTATTTTTACGAAACAATGTGAAGAAATGCATTACAATAAGTGGGTATATATTAAGTCACATCCTACATACAAGCCTCCCAAATAGAACCGTATCATGACCCGTACATGGAATAACCAACCAATCGTTTTATGGCAAGATGGTAATAAAGTTTCTTCTCGAATAAATACTCTTGCCCGTTTGACTCGTACAGTGATGCACCTGCATGTGACGAAATCACCTGGATGATGCCCGATTTCATCACATCTCAACGCAGGGTTGAGCCTCGATAGTGCTTGAATGGAAGGCGACCGACTGCCTTGCACATTAGACAGCTGGAATCGGTGATGTGGGCAGTACTGGGCAGTGGAACACAACCCATGGTTCTGCAAGTGCCCTCATCTTCACCAACCCGCACTTTTGACTTCCCACTTACTGATACCAATTGCGTTTCCCCCAGAAGGATAATATAATAGGCTGAGTTGGCCCGGCATGTGTAAATGTCGTACCGTGCTTGTAAGCGTGTACATTCTATCGCGGTAACTATGGCCGCCGAGACAAATCGATCACCAAATCGATTACAACTGCGGTGGCGAAATGTTGACGACTTCACTTGATATACAGGAGGTTGTTGTGGGTTCGATCCCGAGCCTGACGTCTGTACCAGTGACGTGCGGTGAGGTCAATGGCTGGGGAGGCACTGGCTCGTATCAGAGCCAGATTCACACACTGAGGGGGGCGTATCAGAGGGGGGCGTGTCAGACACGCCCCCCTCTGTGAGGCAGATGTGATAGCTGCCTCCCCTGGGGCTTTTTTTATTGAAGTTTCATGACGAAACCAGCGAGCCTAAATATCTTTATACACATACGTGAACTAAGTTACCTGGAGTATGGAAGGCAAGGACATGAAATGAAGGGGTCTACAAACATTACATTGGTGACATACTGAGAGATAGTAACAGGCACGCGCTTATTGCCCACGCTCCATCCGGTTTCTGAGTGGTTGTGTAATCAGAGGGGAGGCTGAGCTCGTCGCTGCCTCACCTCTCGTCTCTTCCTGTGGGAGTTTTTGCACACAGCGTTGGTGTACGGTGCTTTTTTCAGGAATATTTAGTTGTTTTCATGGATTTTCTGTTTGCACGGTCACATAGTCACTTTAAGATGTTTTCTTGTTCGTGTTTTTGTTGTGGTTGCACCCGATTTAAGAGCCGAATGGCTCACAGGGCTATACCAAAATAAATAAACTGAAAACTGAAACTGTATTTGCAGCGGAGCTCCGCAAATTTGGCGATTTTGACTATGAAAATTATTGGAATCGTACAGAAATGACATAACACAGATCAGTGGAAAATTATTCATTTTTCGTTTATTATGTTTTACTTTTCGTAACAGCTATTTTCATAACAGCTATTTTCATTTGAGTATGACAGGTGAGGCTTCTCCCCCTACCGGGCCACCCCCCCACCACCCCCTCGCCCTAACGGGCCACCCCCCCACCACCCCCTCCCCCTACCGGGCCACCCCCCCACCACCACCACCTTCCCCTACCGGGCCACCCCCCCACCACCTCCCCCTACCGGGTCACCCCCCCACCACCACCCCCCCTACCGGGCCACCCCCCCACCATCCCCCCCCCCTACCGGGCCACCCCCCACCATCCCCTCCCCCTACCGGGCCACCCCCCCACCATCCCCCCCCACCACCCCCCCCCTACCGGGCCACCCCCCCACCATCCCCCCCCACCACCCCCCCCCCCCTAACCGGGCCACCCCCCCACCATCCCCTCCCCCTACCGGGCCACCCCCCCACCATCCCCCCCCACCACCCCCCCCTACCGGGCCACCCCCCCACCATCCCCCCCCACCACCCCCCCCTAACCGGGCCACCCCCCCACCATCCCCTCCCCCTACCGGGCCATCCCCCCACCACCCCCCCTACCAGGCCACCCCCCCCCACCATCCCCCCCCACCACCCCCCCCTACCGGGCCACCCCCCCACCATCCCCCCTACCCCCCCCTACCGGGCCACCCCCCCACCATCCCCTACCGGGCCACCCCCCCACCATCCCCCCCCACCACCCCCCCTACCGGGCCACCCCCCCACCATCCCCCCCCACCACCCCCCCTACCGGGCCACCGTGGATCGAGGCTCTCGGCGCTCCACTAACCGCCCCTGGCCACCGCGCTGCCTCAGCGAGGGATTTTTTTTTGTTTGACGCGGCCCTCGAACTCTTTGGGGTTGCACTACAACAACGACAACAGCGGCAACAACAACAACAACCAAACACAATTCTCCCCACCACCATCACCATCACCACCTCCTCCTCCGTGCGAGTCGCTGTGCACCTTCGCGGCGTCTGACCCCGCGTGAGGCGAAGCGGTTCACTTTGTGTGCGAGGTGAGGAAGACGCTGGCGCCGTGGCGGCTGCGGCCTTCCGTGTGTGCAGGCCCCGTCGACATCACACACACACACTGCGGAGCGGGTTACATGATCGCGGCACGGCCAGGGCGGGCCAGAGGGTGTTCGTGTCTCTCGTCTTTTAAAATAAAAAAAAATAACAAAAACGATAACGACATTAGGTGAACGCTGTGAAACGCCTTCGCAGCGTTGACGGCCGAATGTGTATGGCGCTTCGTGCCGTGGACGGCGTCGTTTGTTGCGTCCACAGTGGCGCAGCGGTAACGCAACGACCGACTCGGCCATGCTCACTCCGCTGCTCGATGGTATGCCTTCCCCGATGTCACGACGACTCGCCTTCGGTCGTCCCTCAGTGTTGCCGCATGCGGCTGAGGCTCCCCCTCGGCTCGTGCGTCTTGACCAGGGGGTCTTTAAGGGACTACTGCTTCGTGACTTTTTTTTAAAAAAAATATTTGCAAGGACCACCACCGTCTACGTATTCACCACACCAGCGCATTGAAACATTTAGAGCTTTATTTTGTTACTGAATTCGCGACGAAGAAAAAAATGTTTCTTGTTATTTTTTTTGCTTGCCGATTCCCCCCACCCCTTGGCCTTGGCCATCAACCCTTGACATCGACGTGCCCAGCTCAAGTCCCACTGCTTCGCTTTACACGCAATGAGGGTGCCTTTGACCTGTGTGTGTGTGCGTGTTCTCTACTCATGGACGTGCCGAGATGTTAACTACCTCGCCTGGTGTACAGGAGTACGTGCCTGGGTTCGATCCACACCCTGACCACTCCTGTTGTGTCTTTGAAGATTGCACGTTCTCCCTGTGGTCGCCTTTTCCCCTCCACATTTAGAAAACATGCATTTAAGGGTATTTGCTATATATTTCCACATGATTAGCCGCTTTGTTGAGCTATCACTTGTGGCCAGGTCGCTTCTGAAAAGGAGCCGTATATCTCAATGGGCCTTACCTGGTAAAACAATATAATGTTAAACTTCTATCGCACCGTACGTAGCCAGTCATGATAATCTTTGCAGTGCAATGCCAAGTTCATAGTTCCATGTATTTGGTATAGCCCTGTGAGCCATTCGGCTCTTGAATCGGGTGCAACCGCAACAAACAACAAACAAAACACATGAACAATAAAACATCTTAAAGTGATTATGTGACTGCAAACAGAAAATCCAGGAAAAAAACATCAAAATATTCCTGAAATAGCACCGTACACCAACGCCATGTGCAAATAATAACAATAAACAAAAACATGGCCAAACCAAAAAAACTTTTCGAAATCACCAAAATAAAAGCCATAAATGCAATGTAACAGTGATCAGAGGGACTGTGACCGAATTTTTAACAATAAACTATATAAATAACATGTAACACCAAACCCTAGAGCCATATTTTAGGCCACTGAATAGCAGTGGCAGCTAGGGGTGTACAACTCCTCGAGAGCAGTTTTGAGTGAAGATCTCATAGGTAGTGATTCAAGTTGCAGTTTATTGGCAATAGCACTCCAGACCCTGGGGGCATCAATAGCAAAGGCCCTTCGGTTTTTGTACGGCAATAAGGAATGTGAAGCTGGTAAATGAGCGAAGACCTGAGGTCAAATTTGTTCTTTGAAACAGAGAGGAGATCCAGTAGGTAGTCTGCGGATTTTTTTGTAAGTACATCGTGAATAAATAAGATCTGGTGCACAAGCCGTCGAACATTAAGAGAAGTCTGCAGCTCCCCACTTTTCGCGATCTTCAGATTTCGTGCCATTTCTTTGCCAATGTCCTCCATATATATCTCTTCCAGTATGTCATAGCAGGTAATGTGCTTACGTTACGTCTCTAATCACTACAAGTTAAAAGATTATCCAAATATATTCTCCCAACAACAAGTGATGAAAAGAAGTAGACTAATATAATGAGATTAAGCTTCTTAAGAAGGATAAAACATTTCAACATGGTGAAAACCAATAATCTTAAGACCAGACTAAAATATGTATTTTCTGTTCTGCACCTCACGTTTGCCACGTGAGAAGTCGTAGAGTGTAATGGGAACTTTATTGCAAACATTTGTGAACGTTGCAGAGTTGAGAATTATTGGTAAGCTTGAAATTATGGTGAGGAATGAAACAGGTGAACATTTATTCCAGTTTGCAGCCAGGAAGGACATGCTAATAATGAATAACTTACAAAGAGAACATACAAAATGTTTTTTTTTTAATCAAAGTTCGAATATGACAAATATTGAAATTAACAATTTAAACACAAACATTACTCAAGGTCCACAACACAGGTTTTTTGGGTTAGATTGTGTAAGTATATCAATGTGTCAATATATCAATGTGTCGTTAAATCCAGCCCCTTAGTAAGGTTTGTCACGTAAACAGAACATGCCAATTCGTTACTAGTGTTTGAGAGCAAATCCATAACATTTACAATCTCAGTACGACGCCTGATGAAGCTAGTTATAATTACTGGCGAAACGTCGTACTGAGATTGTAAATGTTGTGGCTTTGCTATCCAATACACCGGTGTGATGTACTCGTAACGAATTGGCATGTTCTGTTTACGTGACAAACCTTACTAATTTGCTGTGTCGGATGGTGGCGGGTTTCACGACACATTTATATATTTACGCGATCTAACCCAAAAAAAAAAGTATGATGGATGATATTGGTCGCGAAAGCCTACGTTTTAAAACATTGCTCAAGGTATTCAAACATAGAAACAACGTCACAGCATACAAATATTGAGCATATGAATAACATTCCAAAACATGGGTCACAAAACAACAAACCAGAGGCACAGCACGTTCAGTGGGGTGTGTTTTAATCAAGAGCCTCTCCAACTGTTGACAGTTGGAGTTCTATGTCCGGGTTTCATCTCCGCTCTTTTACTGTGGAACAACCAAAGCGTACCGTCCGGATGTTAAAAAAACCCGTGTCCTCATCGTTAGTTGAACACGTAGGCTTTTGCGACCAATATCCATAATATAGGGTTTTTTTGGGTAAGATCGCTTAAATATATAAATGCGTCGTTAAACCCGCCACCACCCTGGCTGTGTCGGGTAGTGGAGGGTTTAACGACACATTTATTTACACGATCCTACCAAACAAACCTGTATTATGGATGATATTGGTCGCGAAAGCCTATGTGTTCAACTGACGAACCTCGACGGGGAGGATACTTTTCTTCAAGCCTCGTCATCTTTAGTTGCAGTGTTGCCGTCTTTTCTCACTCTGCCACCCTTGCGCTGTGCTCCTCCTGCAGGGTCATGTCGAGTGTTCTCTTTGCATCGGTGGTGCGTGTGCGCGACGGGCTGCCTCTGTCGGCCTCCACGGACCAGCAGCCGACGGCGGCGCTGCAAGCGAGCAAGCGTAGCCTCAAGCTCTTGTCACGACGCTTGTCCGCTCTACCTGACCGCTGCTCCCTGGGCGCCGCACCCTCCCAGCGTATCCAGTATGCCCCGCACCATCTGTGGATCACCAAATGAGATGCCACCTTACTTCAGGTCACCTGAAAGCTCATGGACATTGAGGCTTTTTTTTTTACTTTATCTCATTCTTTGCAGGATTAGAACTTCGGTCCATGCAGCATGCACTGCTCCACACTCGTCGGCATGCCCACATTTGCCACTGAATGAGATGCCATCTTAATATCAACTAAAAGCCCATTGACATCATATGGTTTAATCTTGACTTAAAGCTTTCATGACTGCAGGAATTCATATTTTTTGGGTCTTTCGGTATAGCCACGTAGGTAGAAAAAATTATCACAAGCAATCGTCGTCAGACGAAAATAGAAGATTGCTTGTGTTGCGATCAAAACGTCGTGATATTGTTATTATTTTGATTATTTTTTCTATCTATGTGGCTTTACCGAAAGACCCAAATAATATCATATGGTTTATTACATGATTAAAACGATTAATTTATTAAAGTGGCAAACCAAATGTAAGATTATTTTTTTCATGCAATCTTTGGTGATTGGACTGAGACCATCACCACTCTACACTGTCCAGATTTAAATCCAAGGTCTTAGCAGTTGCTGGCTTCGTGCCCCAACAAGTGCTTATTTATCCTCTTAGCCACCCAATGGCCATTGCTGACTATACTCAACTGGTAAGTCCTAGTAAGGAGAAAACCCTTTTCCAGCTGTCTATCTCTGTATCATTGCTGTGTATGAGTAGGTTACGTTTGCTCATTCATTTTAATGCTAACCTAAGATAAAACTACAGTGTACCTCCCCAGGAACTGCAGATTATTTTAGGCTGATCCACAAGGCTGTGCGTTGTTGTCACGTTCATGTCAATCTTGAGCATTGTGCGTTCAAAATCAGATTGGGAGTCGACTCAGTTCATCATCCCTATACAGTCGATACAATTATTTCCACTTTGTGAGAAGTCATCAGTGGTTGTCCTAATTAGAGACTGCCACCGACTGGAACCATGGAATTCCCACCACTGGTTCAGGGTCTACAATAGAGATGACCAAAATGGATTGCTTTTCTCACATGAGGGGCAGGTGCTTAAAAGTTCACACTCAATCAAAGTTGTTTGATCCACCTTAATGATTGTCAAGCCTCATCTTCTCTTGCATCTACATCTCATCCTCAATCTATTGACTCCCATTGCCTATTTTACCTGTACTTTCATGGTTAATCTTGTAGTTATGTCTCTCACATTCCATCTATCGGTGTGCGTGTTCTATTCATGTCTCTTCACTTCCTTGCTAACCTATCACAATGCTTTGCATCATCATTTGCACGAAATTGTGCAAAATTCCAGTAAACGTGCCATTCTTCTGTCTTCCCACCTGATTACATCTTGCAGGCTTTTCAGTCAACTGTTAGCAGCCCCTATCCTCAGATCTACATTACTAACATTGATTAGTTTTGAATAAGCCTATGCCAGGGTGCCCAGTGGGTATATATCGGTAGAGCACGTAAGCCCGTGTGGGGTTGGGTAAGGTGATCGGGGAAGAGAGCTTTATGCTGATATTTATCTTTTAAGGAGCAAATAAGTATTGTTGAGGTGTTTTTTCTTCACCAGAGAGACCCCAACGTCCCCTCATGACGAACCACCACTGGGTCTTCTGTCAGCAACACAAATGAAGAAGATAATAACACTGCCCCTCGCGCCGTCGTCGTTATCTTTGCACGTGCAGCTTCATCAGCGCGCTGGGCGTGGCGTACCTGCTGGTGTGCGAGGACGCCTACCCGGCCGTGCTCGCCTTCTCCTTCCTGGATGAGCTGCAGCGCGAGTTCCTGTCCACGTACGAGCGAGCGCGCATCGAGACCGCCGTGCGGCCCTACTGCCTCATCGAGTTCGGTGAGTGTGTGCGTGCGTGTCCATATCCCTCGGCAGGAGCTATGGGTGCAGTGGTAGTGTGGGGAGCGGTAGTGTCGTGATTAGTGTACTGCACTAGTACCGGGGCACAGGTGGTGCATCGGCCAGTCATATCAGTCAACTCATGGCACCTGGGTCTCCCGTGATCCCCTGCCAGCGGGCATTCGACACTTCACGTGGCTTTAAAGTGCACATAGCCTGGCACAAGTGCCGCCACTTAGTGGTGAATGGCGGTGGTTGTTGTTGTTGTGCGCGACCAACACGGCGACCCGAGATCATTTCTGGCTCACGGTCAACGTCAGTGACATATAGTATTTGATCCTGGATCTCCCCTAGGTCAATTCCGTCTTAAATGAGTACGTGCTGTGGTGTGTAAACATTAGCACTGGGAAGACAAAAGCGGCCGGGCATGGTTGTGGCCACCTACCCCCTGGTATGCCATGGAGATCTTCATAGGTGCTCGCTAACAGCACTTAACCCAACAATCTGACTGTATAGGGGATCTGTATGTGCAGTCCTCTACAATGGTTATTGTGCAATGCTACGATTCCTGAGATGTGGGTTAAATTCCCAACCATGTGCTACATCAGTTGCAAATGGTATCCAAAACTGTCATATGCCCCTTCTAGGTGAATTTAGCCTCAAATGACAGTGGTCTACAGCTCCAGAAATATGGGGACCAATGACCTGGAGTAATTAACAATCAAGAACTACTTTTCATCATGAACCCTCCCAACACAGGTAGCAAAGCATCCATGTAGTGGCAAAAATCACTTTGGGCACTTGCCATGTTTGAAAATATTTGCACTCGTAGTGTATAACTTTTGCAATGATGATAATGAATCACTTGAGGCTCTTACAGGATTACATAGCACAGCGACTTCAGGGAGTGAATTAAACTTGCATTGGTGACACTGAGTGATGTCGGACTCTGGCGAGCAGACACCTTCATCCAGAAGACGAAGCAGAGGTACAACAGCCCTCGGTCGCTGAGCGTTCGTCTCAACCTCACCGAGCTGCAGACCGAGCTGCGCCTGAGGCCACCGCATCAGTTGTCGGAGAGAGACTTCGCCAACGGAGGGGTGTCCACCAGTGCAGAGCCGGTCCACACGAGCCTGTGTATGTCCCCTGTGTATGACGCCTGTGTATGTCCCCGTGTGTGTGTAAAGGTGTTAGTGGGTGGGTGTGGGGAGCGGTAGTGTAGCGGTTAGCACCCTGCGCTACGAACCCGGCGACCCGAGTTCGATTCCCGCTCACGGCCAACACCGGTGACGATTATCTGAACCGGTACTGGGCCTCCCCTAGGTCGACACAGCCTCAAATAAGTACCTGGTGGTGCGGTGTGTAAAAACAGTGCCACTTGGGGAGACAAAGGCGGTCCGACGTTGTGCTGGCCACCAACCCCCTCGTGTACCGTACCAACCTTCATAGGTGCTCACTAACAGCACTTGCCCCAACAGCCTGTTAAGGCTATACAGGGGATATTTTTGTCTTTGTAGGTGAGTGTATTTGGGGCGGTGACATGGCCCAGCGGTAGTTTGTTCGTCACTTGTTTTGCAGCTTTTCCCGGTGTGAACTTGGCAGCCGCCCTGGTTAATACTGCAGGTGTATTAACCGTTAAAAACGTGACAGCTTCTTCACAGTGGACGTTTAAAATCCCGTGACGTCATTCAAAACAGTATGCAATTGTGTACCGCCATCATCGTCCAAATTTTAACAAGTAAAAATAAATGAGCACCTAGGCACAAAGTGCCATGGTAATTTCACCGTCACTTAGTGGCGAACGGTGGTTGTTGTAAGTGTTTCTATGTGTTTGGGAAGTAGCGGCACAGTGGCGAGTGAATATGTTCCACAAACCCGGATACCTGGGTGTTGATTTCCAGAAATAAATTGTATCAATGGCAAGTGGTGTGTGAACCTGTCCTGGGCCTCCTCATGGTCAACTCGACCTGAAAATAGCGTCGTGTGCAGTTCGTTGACATACAAAGGCAACAACAAGACCCACGGCAGTGATGAGTTACTTGGCTCAGCTCTGGTGTGCTGTGTTTGTGGTGTTTCTATGTTAGTGAATTACTTTTTTACAGGGTTTTGTGCATGCTGCTTGTGTATGTGCGAGTCAGTTATCCCTGTCTTCTCATTGGTAGCCCCCCGATCGCACCTGGGCCCCGTTAGTGTCACTGGAGCCATCTCATTGCTGCTCAACTTCGTGTGCGGTCTCCTCAACCTGGTGCGAGGATTCCACCTCCTCGAGAACACGCTCATGGTGAGGCACCACCCTTTCACAATGGGTCTAACAAAGAGACACCGTCTCCTCTCACTCAAGGGTTTCCCGCTATCTCGTCATCAAAACTGACCATCGTCCGTCCGCCTTTCCACGTTTACCAATTTCCTCCTTTTAAATACAAATTGTCATGACAAATTGTCAAGGGTCCCCCGTGGCCTCCCTTGAAAAGCCGATGAAAAATTCCTGATGTCCATCTCTACTTACGGATGTATTGCTTCCTGCACGCCTTGTGCAGGTGCTAATGTGATTGTCACAATAAATACTTCCCAGGACGAATATATGTTAAATAATCAATGCATAGACATGGGTTTACTTCTTGTTCTGCTGTTAAACACCTTAGCCATGTACCTCCAGTCTACCAAGGTTTTTTTTAATGAAAGATTTTTTTTTTGACTGAGTGCAGCTGAATATGGCATTTGACCCCACAATGTACATTGAAAGCACTCTGCCTGTAACGCCCAGCGACGCAGTAGCAGTTTTAATCAACCACATCCTGCTGATGAGACTCGGGAAAGTTGTAGCCAATGTATAGTTTTCTTTGCTTAAATAAATGCTCCTGTAAACACTGATATTGAAGGCCCATGATTCGATGGAGTTAATGATGAAGTATACATCACTACCTGGTTATGTGTTGAACATTAGTCTGTTGACGGTGCACAATGATGCCCATTCATATCGCTGTAGCAAGGGGTTAAAATCAACCTCCTTTACTCTGTCCCTCGGTTGTGCAGGAGGATGGAGAAGGCTCGTTTAACATCATGGTGTTTTTCCTCGCATGTTCCACATCCTTCTATCAGGTACGGTGCACGCCTGTGGATGCGAGTGTACATAAATGCATGTGTAGGTTTGTGTGTAAGTGTGGAGAGTGGGGTCACAGAGGTTCATGCAACAGGTGTTCAATTCCAGGAAGCATCATCGGTGGCAAGTTGTATTGAACTCGTCTTGGACATCCATAGGTGAATTCAGGCTTAAATGAGTACCTGATATGCCCATACATCAGCATTTGGGAGACGGGAAACAATGCTTGGAACTTGCTAAATCATTTTTATTTAAAGCTTTCGTGACTGCAAGGATTCATCTTCTTTGGCTCTTTCGGTAAAGTCACGTAGAATGAGAATAAAATAATAGAATAAAATAAAATAAGACAATAAAATTCTCACGACGTTTCGGCCTCAACACAAGTAGCCTTCATCAGGTAAAAGAACAGAACTGTCGGTACGACAGTGTGCTGTACCAGCTGTAATAATCGGTGCTTGTTCACATGACTTGCTCCTACAGTCTATAACATCACACAAGAGATCTTTGAACAATAAATACATATGCCAGAGGCGGTGCTATAGTTTAGCAAAGGGGTCGGCAACCAAAACAATAAGAAACATTGTTTTCGAATCCTATTTCGTGTGCGAATACGAGACGGCGGTCCTGATTAAACGACGTCACGAAGCTGTCCTTAAAGAGCCGTGTGCGGCTGCGGAGCTGCAGGTTGCCGACCCCTGGCCTAGCAGTAGGACGTATGGCGCTTGTTGGAGAAGTTCACTGTTCAATGCAAGTGGCTGCCCATATTAATTAATACCGCGGACATCCCGTGGTGTCATTCTCAAAAGTGGCCCATTATGTGTCGGTGTCTTGGACCAAATTTGCTACGTTTTTTTTTTTAAAACAAATACCCACAAATTACTCAGTTGTGGTTATACATAGAAATCATCGCCCCTACTGCAAAAACTCTGCAGGATCCTCCTGAAAAATATGTCATGAGACTTGGTGAGGCTATCCTGGGTTAACAAGCGTAATCACAATCATGATAATAATAATGATACAAATCCGGTCTGTTGAAGGTGGATGCGTGTGTGCACGTGCGCTCTCTACCCGTGTGCGTCTACTTGTTAGTCTTTTCGTCGGTATGTGCGGAGCCACGTTGCGGGCAGCAGAGGGCAGTGCAGCAAAATGTATTTTACTACTGCACTTATGTGCCCCCAAATCCGTACTCGCTACCTTCACCGCAGGATGGTGACGTATGGTCAAATAACCCTGACGACCCGCGTGGCATGGGAAGGCCTTTGTCCAGCAGTGCTTTGACAAAGGGCTGTACGTGTATGCAGGAAGCTGCTGTCGCGTAAGTCTTGGTACACTGGACTCGCAATCCAAATGTCGCCGGTTCCCCCACACCATTCCACCCAGCAGTATAAATGGGTACACTATAGTCCATCGGCAGGTTTGCATGCGGTGGGTACAGTTGTGGGTACTCCCAAACCCTTTTAAGGCTTCTCACCAGTGTGGAAGAGAAGGACAAAAACACCCTCCAGAGGCACTCTCCAGATCTCTCTTTAGGAGAGGCCCATTTTACCTGCAGTGACATGAGCAGCTACACCTTTTGTTTTTTACTTTTTATATATGTCTGTGCGTGCACGTGTCCTTCCTCCCTCCTATTCTCTCATCCCCCTCCGCCGCAGTGCTCCCTGCTCGTGCGCCAGTGCCATTGGCGGAAAGCCAAAGCTCTCGCGTCACTCGCCGTGGTGTGCGCGTGCAACGCACGCCTCGCCGACACCCGCACGGCCTGGCAGCTGCTCTTCCACGTGGGCGCGTCGATCATGGGGGCCGCGCAAGTGTGCGCGTGGCAGCCCGCCGGGAAGAGCGCCGACTACAACGTGTGACCGACCGCCTCTCCCCACCCCCTCCCTGCCCGCACCCAACTCACGGCACCCCCATTCCACACGGCACCTTGTGCCCACAAGGATAACGGCTACCACACAATCCAAGCTGCCAAATTGAATTTCTAGCGGAGTGACAACTTAGGGAGCTGACATCTGTATAAGTTGCTCATTTGTTACGTGTTTTTTTTTTGTTTCCCATGTGGTGAAGGCTAATTCACTGTCTCTGCACTGATGAGTGTTGGCAGTCTTGCCGGTAGTGGAAATTCCACACTACTGTGGAGGATGTGAGTCTATCAGACATCCACTGTTCCAGTGTATAGGTTTATTTTGAATGTTATATCCTATCCAAGTTGTGCTTTAATCACCCATATAGCACTCTTATAGAGAACTCAACTAGCAGTCCGAGGATTTCAAATTAAAATAACAATCAGGGTTGTACCAAGCCCATCATATTTTTGCGTTTGGTAAAATGCATACCACTTGGTGAGTCATTAGTGTTTGTCCTATAGATAAACTTGCTCAAATTATGTGGAATTTCCACCACCAGCTTTGGACTACCCAACAAATATGAATGAAACACTTTGGCTTTAATTTGGACTTCAGTTCTAGTGGAGTCGAGGTACGAATAAAATGTGTTCATGAAATGACCTTTATTCCTAAACAATGTGACATTTGAGAAAAAAACGCTGGAAGAGACAGAAGGGACTATTTTGTCTGTGGTACCTATAGGCCTCTTACCTAATACAAGATAACAAGACTTCATGGTTTGTGGAGAATAGGTTACCATGGCTTTTTATTATCAGACCATATCTAGTAAAAAAACAAATGTCAACTAATATTGTGCAATGATTGATGAATGGCTGAGAACATCAAATCTGCTGCACAACAAAACCTTGAGTGGACTCCTTGGATTTCCTATGCCAGAAGCAAGATATAGTAATAGGTTTTTACCCTTTTATCTGCCACCAAAACTGGCACCTTTATACAAGGGATCATGTTTGCAATAACCACAACACAAACAGTCAAAATGCAAACAAAAAAAGACAACTCTGATAATGATATGCACTGTCCTTGAAATTGATTGGTCCACACCCGAGACAGCTTTTCTTAGAGCCTAGTCTCCACTGGTGTTGGACCAGATGACGCCAAAAGGCGTCAAATCACCAGTGGAGACTAGGCTCTCAGAAAAGCCGTCTCGGGTGTGGACCAATCAATTTCAAGGACAGTGCATATCATTAGAGTTGTCTTTTTTTGTTTGCATTTTGACTGCTTGTGTTGTGGTTATTGCAAACATGATCCCTTGTATAAAGGTGTCAGTTTTAGTGCCAGATAAAAGGGTAAAAACCTATTACTGGACTCCTTGGATTTTAACCCAGGATCTCAACAGTGCTGGCTGAATGTACCAATGTAGGCATTGGCCCCCTGATCCATCGAGCCAAATTATGAATATGGGTATCTACACGTAAAATTATGAGCAACTTTAAAACTCCATGTTTTCCATACCAAGCAAAAACACTTAATATATTTTGGAAGAGTACATTGTGTGCTATTTTTTACATGTTCCCATAGTTTTTTTTATTGGGGTTTAATTTAATTAGCCTCTACGTTTATTTTAAAATCAGATTGAAATAATAACTTAATGCTACTCTCCCACCAAATGGTTAATCGGAGGTGCGATTCCACACCTCCGATTAGCATGGTTGGCAACGTACGGTGCAAAATATGTTTAACGTACATGGACATACAGCCTCAGCAGTTGCTGTTCATTTCACCAGCACAAAAGATGATCACGAGCTTAGACGGCCCTGGCAAGGATTTAGAGTAAACATAAAATGTGCCCTATATAGACGTGGTTGGTAAGCTATTGTGCCATCGGATTTCTGTCTTGCTTGACTCATTTAGAGTGAATTTAACTTGCATTTTAGCTTTTGTCATCTTAATAATTTGCATAAGTATATCATAGTTCATTTCAAAATGAAAGTGTCTCCTTAAAAACACGGGGTGGCACTCATTTCTATTGGTGGCCCTGAGCCAGTGGTGGAAATTCTGGACCATTCATACAGTGATCATAATTGATATCTGACAAAGTGGTACTCATGCTGAGTAAACCCTAAACCAGATTTGGACACGACCTTAATGTGATATGTGTGATAACCAGTGCCACCTGGCCAGATTATAATTGGTTGATCAAATGTTTGCATTGTATCTGTGGAGGCTTGGAAGGGAGTAACTTTTTGCATAAAGTAAACAAATGTGACTCCACCCAGTGTTCTACATTCAGTCTTCTATTTGAATTCCTTGTTCATATATTTTTTATGGAATGTTATTTTATAAATCTTTTCAATGCCACATCTGCCCAATAGTTAAGGAAATTACTAACTTATGCTGCCTACTTTAAAGTTAATGATAATAACGCAGTGTCATCATTCACAAGAATGGACCATTCAATGTCAGTGTCATAACCAAAATGTCAAAAGCGAAAATTCCTAACATTTAAGTTATATATATAAAACACATACTTGAATAACATTAATATACTTTCTGTATCATCCAAAATCACAGTTTCTCCCTAGCCAAACAGCCATTATAGTCCACTCATGTTCATTTGTAGCCCCGAGCCAGTGAATGTGTAAATTCCACATTCATAGAGTGGGGTCCAGTCTATCAAAAATATAATGACAGTTGAATTCCCACGAAGTCGCATTCATATAATTCAGCCCCGAGGGAGAATATTTTAAGTCTACCCCAAAACACGATTTTAACTGTCAACCTTCTAAACGTGGCTCAAGCGAGCTAACAATAGCTGGCTTGTAAAGTGACCATATCAGGAGCAGCATTGAATGTCAGAGGGCCCACCTGCTGAAAAAAAACTGGTTTACACATTTATAGCAATACTTGCTCCTGTGCCATGGCCAAATAAGCATGTTCTAAATTAATCACCCTTTCCGTTATGTTCAGAGGGAAAAGATCCAAAGCGCACTTTGTTTTTACGCGGTGATTTACTTTGGCCATGTTCCTTTGACCATGCTATATCAATGTATTATGTAACGTCAGTTATCGCTATATCATTGGTCATATTTCGTATTAATTGCAGTGTCTTACCTTGAATGACTAAGTCTGAAGAATTGCACTCAGTAAAAATGTCACGTTTTTATGAAGACAATTGTAGTGCAGTCATCTCAAGGATAAATGCACGTATATCTATGACTGGAGTAAAATTAAAGGAAGGCACAATCTAAAAAACATACACTTTTGTGGTTATTTCCCAGATAAGTACATAGGCTGTGTGCCCTGGGCTCTTTGACAGGTATTTGAAGATTTGTTAATGGGAAAAAGAATTTGAAAGTGACTTTCAGGAACACCACTGTAATATGTAGTAATATAATGCAGTGTGACGAAATGACATTTAAAAAAGAACAGTGAGGCCACCACACACCATGACGATTATTAATGTACAGGATGCTTCGAATGTAACATAACAAATGCGATGTAAATGGCTTCAAAAAGTCAGAGTCTCTCCCACGTGTTCGCCATCGTTGTCGACACGTGGCCTGGAATCTTCACCAGGTGGTCTCCAGAGCCCCCGGAGGCAGCAGCACATTTCTTGTGGTGTTGTTGCAAATCCTCGGAAGTGTGAACATTTTTTTGAAGCACCCTGTATATGGCAGTCATTGCAATGGCATCACTGGAAGGACCACTTGTCACTGTGCTCCTGATTGTGGCTTTCAAGTAACTTTTATTGTTCACAAAACTAAAAATTCCCGTCGGCTTGAAACACCCATTAGATCTATCTCTACAACGATAAGAGGTCTGTTTTTTTTGTTAGCTTGCGTCGTTTTTAAGTGGCACAAAATGTAATGTTTAACTTTAGAATGTATAGTTGAAAAAGTATTGTGATATGATCAGCCATGATCATTCCACTGCTGGATGATGACAGCCTGTCTACGCCGTTTGCATCGCGCGTGGTCCTGCGAAGTCGCAATCGATCGTACCCTTGCACACGAGCCGATGTTGTCACTGCAACTTTCACAATGGTTCATCCATCGTCCATCCAAACTCGCGATGTCACCTGCCCAACAACGGAACTTTAAAACAATGATCGTGTAATAATGCCTTAACATTCGACTGCAGTCACGCTTTAAATGTGACTTCATGTTGTCAACTCTGGATTAAAACACGGGATTTTAGCAGTGTTGGTTCACTACCATTACAGGAATTACTCCCCTAAGACACCTTGCTACACGCTAAGTCTTGCCTTTATATTAGAGCTGTCAGATTTTTAAGAGACGGAGATTAGCGTGGTGAATTTATCAAACAATGCTTTAAATCCTCTGTTTCGGTGCTCGAGTGAAGGAGCTGATGATTTTGGTTACGTATACTGTATATTTATTTTTACTTAATTGAACACAACAGTTCAGAGTGTTTTCAATTTGCTTATACATGTACAGTGAAATCTCGTTACAACATTATGTGTGGATACGCTGTATTTATTCTTTTTTTTACATTATTACGAAAATACTTTAATCTGAAATTACAAGAAATACACTTTAAAATTGTTTTACAAATTTCACCATTTTGACTTCTATTAATAGGCTAGAGCCTAATAAATATAATAGTGTGGTACATTTTCATGCGTTTACATTTGTCTTCGATGGATCTATGAATACATCAGCAACGTTGCCAACCTCTCTTGATGACAATGCCATGCAAACTGTCAGCCAATCCATGGGGCACGCTTCATTCTCCACGCGTCGTTCTCCGCGCTTCGTGGTGCGCTCCTCGTACTACAAACTTCATTCTAGCCAGCGACTTGAGATATCACAAGCAACCCCCCCATGGCAGTGTGAAGTGGACTGGCTTGGCTGGCGTTATTTGCATGATGACATCATAGCTAATGCTTGTCAGGCTGCCGCGATTCTATAGGGTGCAATACCAAGCTGGCACGAAGGTGGCATACACATGAGCGGTAAACGTAATGACCAGAACTTAAAAATGAAGTTAATATGCAATGCACATTGATATGTTATTTTGAGATGTTTAACATGGGATTGTGCCGAGGATTTTGGAAAAATGCATTTATTAAAAGTATGTCAATCTAGTGGACGTTATAGTGAGGTTTCACTGCAGTTTTATTTTTGGTGGTTTTTAACCGAGGGTTACAGACTTGGCATGTATGTTCAGTGAATTGGTTCCTATGGGGTCTGTGCCTTTGTGAAATAAAATATAATATACTAACGCGTATGTGTAAGCTAACTGCATTAAATAATAACGTACATATCAGAACTTCACAAATCGCAGAGCGCATACCCATGTCACTTTTTAAAATGTTACATACTTTTCGATTTAAAGCTTTCGTGATTGCAGGGATTCATCTTCTTGGTCCTTTCGGTAAAGTCACGTAGAATGGAAATAAAATAAAAATAAAACATAATAAAAGTGAGAATTGTATTTTATTTTATTGTTTTATTTTTATTATTTTATTTCCATTCTACGTGACTTTACCGAAAGAACCAAGAAGATGTTACATACTCTCATGGACAACAATCTCCAAGCCATTAAACTAATGTTGAATCATTTAATGATGTATTTCCAACAGCTATCTTATGTTAAAAGTAACCAAAACTTGCTGAATGTTACGAAGTAAATCTTAAAGATCCTGTGACATTGGT